TCTGTATTGTTTTAAGCTATTTGTGGTAAGTTGTTATGACAACACTAGAAAATGAATTTGGCTAACAGGTGGCAAATCTGGGATTTATGCCTTGGACTGAGGCTAAAATTGATATATTTCTTTGATGCTACGATCATGTGACTTCAAGCACTAAATACTAATCCTAATAATTCATTCATACACATATAGAAGGTGCCCAGGAAATACAGAGTATATGTATGAGTTATAAAAATAATTATAAGGCCAGGCCCGGTGGCTCATGCCTGTAATCCCAGCACTTCGGGAGGCCTAGGTGTCCCAAAGACACTTAGGAAGCATCCTTAGGGTGGATCACAAGGTCAAGAGATTGAGACCATCCTGGCCAACATGGTGAAACCCCGTCTCTACTAAATATAAAATATCAGCTGGGTGTGGTGGTGTGCACCTATAGTCCCAGCTACTCGGGAGGCTGAGGCAGGAGAATCACTTGAATCCAAGAGGCGAAGGTCGCAGTGAGTGAAGATCATGCCACTGCACTCCAGCTTGGTGACAGAGCAAGTCTCTGTCTCAAAAAAAATAAACAAATTTAAAACTTTTATATATATAAAAAGAAATATATACGTATATATATATATATGTATATGTATATATATATATTTTTTTCCTCTCCCCCCCTTTTTTTTTTTTTTTGAGATAGAATCTCACTTTGTTATCCAGGCTATAGTGCAGTGCTGTGATCTGGTCTCACTGATCCTCAGCCTCCTGGGCTCAAAACAGTCCTCCCACTGTAGCTCTCCCCAAGTAGCTGGGGTCTACAGGTACATGCCACCATGCCCTGCTATTTTTTTTTTTCTTTTTGAGATTGAGTCTTACTCTGTCACCTAGGCTAGAGTGTGGTGGCGCAATCTTGGCTCGCTGCCACCTCTGCCTCTTGTGTGATTCTCATACCTCACCCTCCCAAGTAGCTGGGCTTATGCCAGGCTAGTTTTTGTGTTTTTAGTAGAGACAGTGTTTCACCATGTTGCCCAGGCTGGTCTTAAACTACTGAACTCAAGCGATTTACCTGCCTGAGTCTCCCAAAGTGCTGGAATTACAGGTATGACCCAGTGCACTTGGCCCCAGCTACCTGTTGTATTTTTTGTAGAGATGGGGTTTGCAGTGTCGGTTAGCTCCTGGGCTGAAGCAGTCCACCTGCCTCACCCTCCCAAAGGTGCTAGGATTACGGGCTTGAGGCACTGAGCCTGGCCATGGGTGCCATCTATCTAAAGAGTGAAGAACCTGATGTTAAACCAGTGATTGAAATCACCAGCTGGGCGCGGTGGCCCACGCCTGTAATCCCAGCACTTTGGGAGGCCGAGGCGGGTGGATCACAAGGTCAAGAGATCGAGACCATCCTGGTCAACATGGTGAAACCCCGTCTCTACTAAAAATACAAAACATTAAGCTGGGCATGGTGGCGCGTGCCTGTAGTCCCAGCTACTCAGGAGGCTGAGGCAGGAGAATTGCCTGAACCCAGCAGGCGGAGGTTGCAGTGAGCCGAGATCGCGCCATTGCACTCCAGCCTGGGTAACAAGAGTGAAACTCCGTCTCAAAAAAAAAAAAAAAAAAAAAAAAAAAAAAGAAATCACCAAATTCTTAAAATCATGAGCTCAGTCTAGTGGAGGAAACAGATGAACAAATAAACTAGCTCTGCTGATGCTGGGGTTCATCAATGCCCAGAGGTGGGGTGCAGTGAAGGGGAATGCCAGAATTTGGAAAGATGGAGCACACGGCCTCCTTGTGCTTTCTGTGGATGTAATGCAGAAACTGGTCAGAAGGAAGAGAGGGAGACAGCTGGGGAAGTGCAGAAAAAGCAGTCATTCTAGGCAGTGGTTGCTCAGCGCCCAGCCCTGTGCTTGGCCAGCCTCTGACCCTGTGCTTAGCCTGCGTGCTATAGTCTGAGAGTCTATTAGAGTTGGCGTGTATAGAGTGTGAAGGCCAGGTGAGATGGGCCAGGGTGAGATGGGAAGGACAAAGGGTTGGTGTGTGAGGGGCTTCTGAGCTGGGATCTCATTCCAGATGGAGTGGGAGCCAGGACTTTTCAAAAAGGAGTAGATGTGGGCCAAGAGATATTTCACAGGGCACTGCCTGACTGCTGTGGGGTATGGGCCATGAGTTAGTGTAGGAATGCGAGACTGTTCCTTAGTGAGGGACTGAGGGCTGTGCACTGACTCCTAAGCTGAATGGGGTGGGATAGACCAACTTTCTGGTAGAAACCTGGCCTTTGTGTTGGATGTGTTTAACTGGAGACACTTAGGAAGCATCCAGGCTTAGATGTCATGTGTGCGGTTGCATGCGTAACACGGGATTTTGCAGCAGAAGTCAGACCTCAGGCTATGCATTTGGAGGCCTTCAACGCATAGGTAGTATTTAAAGCTAGGAGTGTGAGCAAGCTAAGCAGGGGGCAAGAGCGCAGGACCAGGCAGAGGGTCGCAGGAGAGTGCTGAGGGGTGGTGCAGGGCTGCCTTGCCTCTGTTGGGGTCTGGGGAGGAGGCACCTGCAGTAAGTGGTGGGTTCAGCTCCACGAGAGCAGCATCTATTGAGCATTGGAGAAATGGGACCTCTAGGGTCAAGACCAGGAGGAAGTAGAGGCCATTTGTAGAAAACACTAGTTAGACAAATCTTTTTTTTTTTTTTGGAGACAGTTTCACTCTTGTTGCCCATGCTGGAGTGCAGTGGCGTGATCTTGGCTCACTGCAACCTCCACTTCCCGGGTTCAAGCGATTCTCCTGCCTCAGCCTCCCAAATAGCTGGGATTACAGATGCCCGCCACTACGCCCAGCTTATTTTTTGTATTTTTAGTAGAGATGGGGTTTCACCATGTTGGCCCGGCTGGTCTCCTGACCTCAGGTGATCCACCTGCCTTAGCCTCCCAGAGTGCTGGTGTTACAGGTATGAGCCACCATGCTCAGCCAACGCTAGGCAAATGTTATAATGGAAGAGAGCAAAGAAATGGGCTGTGGCTGATGGGAGATGTGGATGTAAGAGAGGGTTTTTTGTTGTTGTTTTTGAGACAGTCTTCCTGGAGTGCAGTGGCATGATCTTATCTCACTGCAGCCTCTGCCTCCCGGGTTCAAGCAATTCTCATGCCTCAGCCTCCTGAGTAGCTGGGATTACAGGCATGTACCACTACACCCAGCTAATTTTTTAATTTTTAGTAGAGATGGGGTTTCACTGTGTTGGCCAGGCTGGCTTTGAACTCTTGACCTTAGGCAATCTGCCTGCCTCAGCCTCCCAAAGTGTTGGTATTACAGGCATGAGTCACTGCACCTGGCCAAGAGAAGGTTTAAAAAAATAAAATTTGCACACCCATGTTGCTAGCAGCAAATCCACAGTAAGTCAAAGGGCAAGAACCCCCCCCCAAGTATTCATTAAGGGATAAATGGATAAACAAGATGGGGCACATATACACAAATAATGATGGAACGTTAATTCAGACATGAAAAGCCATGGAAGTCTGACACATGCTGCAACTTGGATGAACCTTGCGGATGGGATGCTAAGTAGAATAAGGCAGCCACGAGAAGCAAGCACTATATGATTCCACTCATACTAGGTACTTAGAGCAGCCAGATTCACACAGGAAAAGTGGAATAGAGGTTACAGGGCCTGGGGGTGGGGAAATGGGAGTTAGTGTTTGAGGGGCATAGCCCTTCTGTTATTGATGGTGAAAACATTTTGGTTATAGACAGTAGTGATGGTTACACAATAGTGTGAATATGTTTAGTGCTAATGAACTGTATCTGTACATATTGTTTAAATGATAAATATGTCTATTTTACCACATTGAAAACAACAGATAAAAGACCATGCTTGTACAGGGAGTGGGTCACTAGAGGGAGGGGCTGCAGGAGAGTGGATTGTGGAGGGCAGAGCCTAGGGAAGTGGGTCCTCTCTGAGTCCCCACACCCCAGACCCATTGTGTACTGTCAAGCACCCCGTGCACTTGTGTATGCACACTTGTGTTTATTAACATGATTACTTTCTATTTGAATGACCTTTTCCCCAACTAGTACCTATTCTTTGAGTCTCAGAACAAATGCTATCATGTCTGGAAAACCTTAATAGTATACTCAAAGTCAGAAGAAATCTGCTTGTCATGAATTCCAAAGTAGCTTTTTAAATGTCTTTTTTATGCCACCATCCTGCAACCATGTTGATGTTTCTCTGCTTTAAGCCCTCTCTGACTGCACTCTTTATCCAGCTCCTGTCACATCATCATCAGGGCTCTGTCTCAAATATGTCGGTCCTTGCAATAAAAGCAAACAGTTCTTGGGTCTCTGCTGACTGATTACAAGTCACTGTTAGAAGGGTAGAGAAATTAGTGATGAATAAAGCATGATTCTTCATAGCTACAATGAATAATCTGGTGTGAGACAGTTATGCAAATAACTGTGATGTCTGTCAGGCCAGGATTAGAGCCACATGCTATAGTTGTGTGCCTGTTTTTATCTTAACTTTTAGTTAATAAGTTTGCTGAGGTCAAAAGTCATATTTTATTCGTATTTGTCATTCTCATAATATCTTGGCAAGTACCTTTTTTTTCCTCTTTTCTTTTTTTTCTTTCTTACATGTACTGTGCGTTGAATAAATGCCTGGGTATATTGGGGAGAAATGGTATGTTTGGCCATGAGTAAGTTATTTTATTTAATCCTCTGAACTATCCTAAAAGAAAGGTATATACTGTCTCTAACGCAAGTAAGAAAATTGAGGCTCTGAGAGATTATTTAACAGAGCTTTTAAGTGATGAGTTGGTGTTTAAACCATGTCTTTGTTATCCCAGATTTTCTTTGTTTTTTCGCAGTCATAACTGTGCAGCAGTAATAACTTGGAACTTTCTAGCTGGATGGAATGATGAAAGATGTTACTCTTGAATTCACAAGAAACTAATAGGGTTAATATAGGTGTCAAGCTCTCTGTAAAGCGTGTCACGTGATACTGTTATTACTGTTTGTAACAAAGGCTTCTTGGTATTTCCCCAGATCCCCAGACTTCAAAGGAGATTTTTAATTTTGTTCTGAAGGCAATTCGTCCTCAGGTAGGATTAATATTACTATTAATATTACCCTAATGCCTTTGCAGTGCAGACTTTCAAATACTGATGGTGAATTTTTGTTTTCTAAAATAGATTGATCTGAAGAGATATGCCGTGCCCTCAGGTAGGATTCTGTATTTAATGAGGTATATTATCTTAGATTACTAAATTAACATCTCAGGTAAGCTTTTGCCTAAACTTTGAATGAAAGCAAATGTGATAACATCTGTGATGTTTCACACACAGTTATTTACAGGGAGGCTTTTGGTGACTTAGTAAGCTCTGGTTGAAATGGTGATACTCAGGTTATATGGTTGAAAGCATTTTATTTTAGGGTATCTTTCAGGGGATCCAGGCTGTTCGATTCTGCCTTTGTCTCAGTGAATCCTGATTCCACTTCTGATCCTTGTTTTGGGATTTGTCGGCTAAGTTGATTGTTGGCGTTAGAGCGCTGATGGGGATCCCTGGGTTACTGTAGTGTAACGGTACCAGATCTTCCTGAGCACAGTCTTGACTTTGACATATCCCTGCAGCTTTTTTGGTTTTCTGTTCTGCCTTATGTCCTCTGATTTTAAATATAATGGCTTTTGCATTTGCAGCTGGCTTGCGCTTATTTGCCCTGCACGCATCTCAGTTTAGCACCTGCCTTCTGGACAAGTACGTGTCTCTATTTGAAGTCCTGTTAAAGTGGTGTGCCCACACAAATGTAGAATTGAAAAAAGCTGCACAATCAGCCCTGGAATCCTTTCTGAAACAGGTACCACAAATTCAAATGTCATTTAACAGTATTTCTTTTACACACAGAATTAAATTCCAATTGTATGCATGCGTGTTTGAGAATAAATACAAGTTGATCCATTAGCTTCTGTAGTAATGAAAGCAGAAAACTGTTGATCAGCCAGCCTCATGGGAGGAAGACAGGCTGAAAGAGAGCTAGGGAGATACCAGATTTGATTAGGGCCTCAGAGCCCAGATTAAGACAAGTCTAATGGAGCGAAGACATGGTGGTAAGGAGGTGGTGGGAAGGGCTGGAGAGTGGGTGGAGGGCTGAGGGGAGCCCCATTTCCTGGGAGCTGTCACCAGGGGATACATAGATGCTTGTGTGTCAGCTTGAAAACTGGGAGTGCCCCTTTGCCCTTGTGGATTTTCCTCCTGGTTAGGAGGTGGTTACAGAATCTGGACCTGCGTACATGGAAGCTCATCTGGTCGGCTGAGGAGACTGTGATTGTAGTTCTGAGCGCTGGTCTCCAGGATGTCCTGGACGTCCAGAGGTGTCCACAGGGACTTGGCCACCAAGGAAATAGACTTCTGGGGTTGCTCTGAGGGAAAGGACTGGAGATTCATAACAAACGTTTTCTTTGGGGCATTTCCATACCTGGGTAAACAGTAGCTGAATTCACAGGCTATCCACATAAACTGTGTGAACAGTGTTGCAGTTGTGTTAGCCTTAGAGTCACAGCCGGAATGTGCAGAAGTTGAAGAGAGAGAGAGCACTGCCATCCTTTTTTCAGGACTGGGCCCACCTCCCAAGAAAACTTGGCCCCTGGCTCTGCTGCCTGTCCCTTTCGCCTCCTTAGCCTCCCTGCTGTACTTGGCCTTCCCATCCGGCTTGTGTTCTCCCTGAAGTCTTGGCTTTGAGATTGCCTCTTCTTGGTACTCATAAAACTACTGTTCTGCTTGACTTGCCTGGCCTTACTTGCTAAGGGAAATAAAAATTTGAGGAATTATTTTTTACTGATTCATATAATATGTTTGGATTTCATTAAGCATTTGCTGAAATAAACATCTTGAGAGAGAGAATTTCATGCTTTGTTAGCAAGGAGGCATGTCCGAGATGTGTACAGAGTGATCATCATCCCTGGTGGCACCCTTGGAGCCTTGTTCCCTAGCAATGCCTGCCTTTCCTAGTGCAGGGCTGGGTGGGGCGTGGGCTTGCAGAGAAACCCGTCACCCCTCCTTCCACTGCACTGGTTGTCTTTAATGGGCCACGCAGATACCTGTATTTCACATCCTTGCCAGAGACTTTTCAGTCTTCCACTCCTCTTCTTAACAAAAAAACATTGAGTAGATACTAGAATTTCACTGAGGAAATATATTCTACCTGCTAATCTCTACCTCGCGAGAAAGTCATTCGAGCTTGGAGAAGTTCAAGAGAACAGCCCTCAATGCTGCCCTCAAGGGCTGATGCCTGTTGCAAGTTTGGGAGTTTCGAAGATACCCTCACATTTGATATTCACAGCTATGGTTTATTACAGCTAAAGGGCCCAGATAAAAATCAACCAAAGGTAGCAGCAGCACATAGTGCAGAAACTAAGAAAGTATTGAACGTGGAGCTTTCCTGGTCCTTTTCCTGTGGAGTCAGGGCAGCGTTGCTTTCCCAGCATCTGTGTGCAACAGCACATGTGGAGTATTGACTGAGTGCTCCCCTGAACCTCTGTGTTTGGGGTTTCCCTTGGGGCCCCAGCATATAGGCATAGTAGGTTGGTGAGTCTCAGTTTCCAGGGATGCCATGTGACCCAAAGCCCCCATTCTGAATCATCTTACCAGGTATGACCAGCCCCACCCTGAGTCCCGTTGTTAGATCATTCCGTGTGACCTGGGGCCCCAAGCAAGGAGAGATACCTCCTTTCCCTCCTTCTGAAGAGGGAGTGAGGAGAGGAAGAAAGAGGACTTTACATAAAGGATACGTAATTTTTTGGCCTTAAGATTTTCCACTATGTTGAATATATTTTCCTCACAGTGACGTCTATATATATATATATATATATATATATATTTTTTTTTTTTTTTTTTTTTTTTTTTTGAGAGGGAGTCTGCTCTGTTGTCAGGCTGGAGTGCAGTAGCGCAGTCTTGGCTCACTGCAACTTCTGCCTCCTGCATTCAAGTGATTCTCTTGCCTTAGCCTCCTGAGTAGCTGGGATTACAGGCACCTGTCACAGCTCCTGGATATTTTTATTTTTTGGAGACGGAGTTTCACTCTTGTTACCCAGGCTGGAGTGCAATGGCGTGATCTCGGCTCACCGCAACCTCCGCCTCCTGGGTTCAGGCAATTCTCCTGCCTCAGCCTCCTGAGTAGCTGGGATTACAGGCACGTGCCACCATGCCCAGCTAATGTTTTGTATTTTTAGTAGAGACGGGGTTTCACCATGTTGACCAGGATGGTCTCGATCTCTTGACCTCGTGATCCACCTGCCTCTGCCTCCCAAAGTGCTGGGATTACAGGCTTGAGCCACCGCGCCTGGCCAATTTTTGTATTTTTAATAGAGACAGGGTTTCACCATGTTGGCCAGGATTAACTCAGGTGATCCACTTGCCTCGGCCTCCCAAACTGCTGGGATGACAGGTGTGAGCTTCTGTGCCCGGATATTACAGATGATAACATCTGTAATAATACAGATGTTATGTTAATTCATAACATCTGTATGATTATCAATGGCAATGTAATATACATACATATATCTATATCTATCTACCTACCTATATATATATATAATTTTTTTTTTTTTTGAGACAGAGCCTTGCTCTGTCTTCAGGTGCCAGGCTGGAGTGCAGTGGTGCAATCTCGGCTCACTGCAACCTCAGCTCACTGCAACCTCCGCCTCCCGGGTTCAAGCAATTCTCCTGCCTCAGCCTCCTGAGTAGCCGGGACTACATACGCACCACTACGCCCAGCTAATTTTTGTAGTTTTTTGGTAGAGATGGGGTTTCACTATGTTGGCCGGTATAGTCTCAATCTCTTGACCTCCTGATCTGCCCACCTAGGCCTCCCAAAGTGCTGGGATTACAGGCATGAGCCACCGAGCCTGGCCTGTAATATATGTATTTATGAGCCATAATGTTTTAATCTGTCCTCTGTCTGCTGTTCAATAGTTATTTTCAAGACTTTAAATGTTATATACAGAAAACAGTTGAATATAGATGCATTAGAAACACGCTTACTGAGAATACAATAATAGAAAATTAGCAGTGTTTAAGTGGTTACACATTATAGTATGTAATATTCCCTATTCTGTAATTAAGTAAAATGATGTTGTTTGTTTACTTGCTGAGAGACATTTGTGATGTGTTTTATGAAGAAGGAAATTATGAAAGAGTACATATGATGTTTTATTCTTCAAACACGAACAGGGAGCAAAGTTCCCAGAAGGTCACACGCTAAGACCTGTTGGCCTTAGGGGCACTGGGAAGTGTATGGGTAATTTAGCAATGGAAGGTGGATTTTTTTTTTTGTTCTTCCTTTGATGACTGTCTGGATTCCTTCCATTCTTATCCTGGACAGTCTTTGTGCTAAAATGGGGAATGCTCTTCGAATACCTGTGGTAGTTCCTGCATTTAGGCTCCTGCTTCTTGGTTTGGTAAATAATGATCTATTTGCTTCTCAGATGACATTTTCCCCTTGCATCACTTAATTTAAGCTTTATAGTTTGTTGCTTTTTTTTTTGGAAACTGAGATGCCTTGTCTTTCTGATTGTCCCGAACTCTATTTATTGATGATGTCTGAAGTCACTGATCCCCTGACAGTTCTCTTTCACCCTGTGGGTAACCGGTGAGTTCTAAAGACTGCTCTTTGCTTCATCAGAGAGCCTTAATTCAAAACCTGTTTTTTTTTTTTTTTTTTTTTTTTTGGTCAGACTTAGGCGTATCCTTGGTCTCTTAGTCCCTTTCTCTGGGAAAAACATCTCACTTAGCCTTATTTAAGACACTTCTGAACCTGATAGAGACTAAGGAAAATGGAAGCAAGGGTCTTTATGATTAAAAGCAATTATGTGTAATGGTAACAGTACATTAGTAGCATCCAAACAGTTCTAGTTTTTCCATGTTTGTATAGATTCCGTTGTTATTAAGTATTTCCAAAAAAATAAATAATATATATTTACAGGTTTCTTATATGGTGGCGAAAAATGCAGAAATGCATAAGAGTAAGCTGCAGTACTTTATGGAGCAGTTTTATGGAATCATCAGAAACATGGATTCAAACAACAAGGAGTTATCCATTGCTATCCGTGGATATGGACTTTTTGCAGGGGTATGTCTCATTAACTTATTTTGTTTTGTCTTGGTTTCACATGATTGTTTAAAGGAATCTAATTCATTGCATTTTGAGTAATATCTAATACTTGTAACAATACAGCAGGCCCTGTGAACTGCGCAGGTCCACTTATATGCAGGTATTTTTCAGCCATACATGGATAAAAAATACAGCCTGTGGCCTGGTGGGGTGGCTCACACCTGTAATCCTAGCACTTTGGGAGTCTGAGACAGGTAGATCACGAGGTCAAGAGTTCAAGACGAACCTGGCCAAGATGGTGAAACCCCATCTCTACTAAAAATAGAAAAGATTAGCTGGACGTGGTGGCACACGCCTGTAATCTCAGCTACTCGGGAGGCTAAGGTGGAGAATTGCTTAAACCCGAGAGGCAGAGGTTGCAGTAAGCCAAGATCGCTCCACTGTACTCCAGCCAGGGAAACAGAGTGAGACTCTGTCTCAAGAAAACAAAAATACAGTGTGTGCTGGATAGGAAACGTATATAGAAGGCCAACTTTTTGTATATGAGACTTCCATAGGGTGATTGTGGGACTTGAGTGCATGGATTTAGGTATACTGAGGAGGTCCACAACCAGTCCCTTCACCACATATTCTGAGAGTCACTATATTAGTGTGTTGTCTACTATGTACTAGAATTCTTTAGATGTGTTATCTTAAGTTTCCCTAACTCTCTTAGGAGCTGAGTATTACTGTTTTACAGATTAGCAAACTGAAACCCAGAGAAATTAGGAACCTTGTCAAGAGACTCACAGAATTGACAGAACCACGGCATAAGTCCGAGTCTGAAGAATAGAAACACCATGTCTCCCCTCTGTGTTATGCTGCTTCTTATTCTTAAAGTAAAATTGTAGTTGATTTCACTCAGTTTTAGAAAGAGTTCAAAAAAAAAATTTATATGACAGGAAGAGATATATTTAAGAATATTAGCTAGGTGTGGTGGCCCATACCTGTAATCTCACCACTTGGGGAGGCCACAGCAGGCACATTACCTGAGGTCAGGGATTTGAAACCACCCTAGCCAATGTGGTAAAACCCTGTCTCTACTAAAAATACAAAAATTGGCTGGGCGTGGTGGCACACACCTGTAATTCCAGCTACCAGGATTACAGGTGTGCGCCACCATGCCTGGCTAACTTTTGTGGGCTTTTTGTGTTTAGTAGAGACAAAGTTTCACCATGTTGGCCAGACTGGTACTTGAATTTATGACCTCATGATTTTCCTACCTAGGCCTCCCAAAGTGCTGGGATTATAGGCACAAGCCATCGCACCTGGCCAGATATCGTATTTTATTATCTGTATTTCTTCTTAAATAAAAAGCTTATTAAACTTGTGTTTATAATCACATGGCTTAACACATGATACCTTATTAAATATCATTATTTTGATCTTGAGATTGATGAAGTCTTCTGTTTTACCTTTTCTAAAGCCTTGCAAGGTTATAAATGCAAAAGATGTTGACATCATGTACATTGAGCTCATTCAGCGCTGCAAGCAGATGTTCCTCACCCAGACAGACATTGGTGATGACCGTGTTTATCAGATGCCAAGCTTCCTGCAGTCTATTGCAAGTGTCTTGCTGTACCTTGACACGGTAAGTGAAATAGTTAAACTGAGCACAGTTTTAAGTATTTAATCTTCATTTCTTCAAATCATTTGATGGAGTCATATGATACATTTAGTGTAGGCGTTGTTGTGAACAACATGACATAGCATTTTGTGGCAATAGAATTATTGTCATGAAACTTGATTTTTTGTTATCCAGAGCAAGAAAAAAAATTTCTCTTTCCATCTTTCTGAAAGATTCGGAATTGTTGCTTGGGATAGAATTGCACCTCAAGACAATTTTTACTCTGTGTGTGTGTTTTTATTAAGGCAATCACAGTAATAAATGTTAAGCTTAGCAGGTTAGATGACAGACCATGTTTTCTTTTAATAAGTATCTAATTCAGTTGTAATTACTTTCAATATTTGTATTATTCCTGTATTCTGTGATTCCCTCCTCTAACTCATAGTTTGCTGTTTATTTCTGGTAGGTTCCTGAGATATATACTCCAGTTCTGGAGCACCTCGTGGTGATGCAGATAGACAGTTTCCCACAGTACAGTCCAAAAATGCAGTTGGTGTGTTGCAGAGCCATAGTGAAGGTGTTTCTAGCCTTGGCAGCAAAAGGACCAGTTCTCAGGAATTGCATTAGTACTGTGGGTAAGTTTGTAATTTATTGTTTTTATGGGTAATGATGGATAATTGACACATTATTTGATATAGGTAAAGAGAATCTTGTTACCAAATTCTTTTGTATCTTTGATACAATGTCTGATGAACTAAATTTTGGTAGACCAAAATCTCTTCCTTTTTTCATCCTATTATGTCTGAATCTTAATAGTTTTTTTTTTTTTTTGAGACGGAGTTTCGCTCTTGTTACCCAGGCTGGAGTGCAATGGCGCGATCTCGGCTCACCGCAACCTCCGCCTCCTGGGTTCAGGCAATTCTCCTGCCTCAGCCTCCTGAGTAGCTGGGATTACAGGCACGCACCACCATGCCCAGCTAATTTTTTGTATTTTTAGTAGAGACGGGGTTTCACCATGTTGACCAGGATGGTCTCGATCTCTTGACCTCGTGATCCACCTGCCTCTGCCTCCCAAAGTGCTGGGATTACAGGCTTGAGCCACCGCGCCCGGCTTGAATCTTAATAGTTTTAAGTTTTAAAGTTATTAATGAACTTAGAAAATAAATTCAGAGGTAAAGTTGGGTTCCAAAATATAATGACTGTTGACTTTTTTCTTTTTTTAGTGTTTCATTGTATATTTTTCAGCGTTTCCTTCATTTTTGGTTTTTTGTTTTTTCCTTTTTCAGTGCATCAGGGGTTAATCAGAATATGTTCTAAACCAGTGGTCCTTCCAAAGGTAAATTCTGAATTTTAATGTTTGGAAAATTTATCTGTTATCACAGGAAGTTAGGAATGTTGCTGAGGTTTTCGAGTATAATTTTGCAGAAGTGGCCGTTCTTTTCTTTTAGCTATGCTTTACATTTTGAAAAGAACATAGTACCTCTATAATATTTTATTAGGTGCGCAGACACTTCTAAGGTATGAAACATCTTTAAGTATAACTTTAGGTTTTATACATTTTTTTAAAACAGAAATGTTTTCTCTCTTGAAACTCTAGGACAAAATGCAAGGGGAGGCATATCTTAATTCCCAGAAGTTATAGGATGTACAATGAGACTAAAGTTTGAAATATGTAAGAAAGCGAGATAAGGATTATAGCGCATTCAGTGGATATTGTATTGAAATACCTTGTTGGTGTATCACAGTTTTAGTCACAGAAGAATCACGTTGTTTTCAGCTTTTTATCTATTTATTTATGTTTTGAGGTAGAGTCTTGCTGTATCATCCAGGCTGGAGTGCAGTGGTGCGATCTCAGCTCACTGCAGTCTTCACCTCCGAGGTTCAAGTGATTCTCCTGCCTGAGCCTCCTGAATAGTTGGGATTACAAGTGCCCGTCAACATGCTCAGCTAATTTTTGTGTTTTCAGTACAGATGTTTCGCCATGTTGGCCAGGCTGGTCTCAAACTTTTGACCTCAGGTGATCTGCCCACTTGACTCCCAGAGTGCTGGGATTATAGGTGTGAGCCACCGCACCTAGCTTGTCTGTCTTCCTTAATTATATGGTCTCCTATGAGTGACAATTTAATCTAGAAAATTCTGAAGACCGGCATGTTCTGTCAGCAGTGCTGCTTCTGAGATCTGTCACTAAATATTGTCATGCTGTCTTCCTGGCCAGGGTGCTGAGTCTGAATCTGAAGACCACCGTGCTTCAGGGGAAGTCAGAACTGGCAAATGGAAGGTGCCCACATACAAAGACTATGTGGATCTCTTCAGACATCTCCTGAGCTCTGACCAGATAATGGTAACATTTACCATTTGAAAGCCTTAAATGTACCCTACTTTCTCTATTAGTCTCTGTAGTTTAGACACAAGAATTGTTTATTTCAGAATTATATTTTACTAACTTTCAAAAGTTAAAAACCGTGTACTTCAAATAATAAAAAATTAAAACTATGGATCAGGAAGTTAGAATGAGAGTAGAAATAAATGAAAGAAACAAAAATATAGAACTCCTTTAACGTAAATTAGTTACTGTAGCTGAGTCCTTATTTTAGCTTTAAGTAGCAGGATGGTACAGCTCATGCTAAGCTGTTCTTCCTCACAGGTCCAGCCTCCTAGGTAACAGAAAGTATTTTCATCAAGGAAGAGCTATTCTCTTTTTTAATTTGTTTGTGAAGATAAATCCAGTAAATGTAGTAGGTATAAAGAGGATTGGTGCATAGCTATTCTGTACATCACTTCGGATTAGAATAAGGCTTCTTGCTTAATACATTTCTCACAGACATTTCCTCAGTGTCTGCTTTAAGTCAGGTAGTGGCTAGTATTTTTGTACAGTTTAAGCATTAATAGCCTACGACAAGCAGTTTTTGTCAATATGTGATTCCTATCTTGTGAAAAATCTTAGGTGGTTTTAGTTTTTTTCTTACTGAAATAAAACACCAGTTGATAGTAAGTTTGCCAGTATTTATTTTTTACATGTGATGTTAGATATCTCTGTAAGTACTGTAAAATATGAGACTAAATATAGGCAGAGTAATTGTCCTATTTTGGAATGGTAAAATAGCTTCACTTTTAGAGAAATGACAGATTATACTTTTAAATCGATTCTGAGAGTCGATATATATATTTGTATGTATGCGTATATGTACATGTTTATTTTTATTCTATTTTTTTTTATTAAGATGGGGTTTCACCATTTTGGCCAGGCTGGTCTTTAACTCCTGACCTCAGGTGATCCACCTGCCACGGCCTCCGAAAGTGCTAGGATTACAGGCGTGAGCCACCGCACCTGGTCCATGTGCATGTTTATATATGTTTTCATATTTAGTTGTATATGCACATAGCCATACATATGTTCACAGACATAAAAGACATAGTGTCTATATATGCATATTATACATATTTGTGTTTATACATACACATCTACAAATTAATTGGGGTAAATGCTTTGACAAGGATTCACCTAAATCTTCTCAGTTACCACTGTGTACATAAGTATTTGTTGCATGACTAGATAAATGATATCTGACTGAAATGATGCGGTCATAATAATTTAGGAAGGTATCTTGCAGCTTGAAAACTTCCAGGTAAATCTGCTACAGTTTATAATCACTGTTGCCATAATACCCAAATCTGCACATACATCTGTATATGTGTTTTAATGCTTATAAAATACTCATACTTTTTTGCACAAGATTTTGAAGTTTATTGTTTTTCTTTATTTAAAGGATTCTATTTTAGCAGATGAAGCATTTTTCTCTGTGAATTCCTCCCATCAAAGCCTGAGTCATTTACTTTATGATGAATTTGTAAAATCTGTTTTGAAGATTGTTGAGAAATTGGATCTTACACTAGAAACACAGACTGCTGGGGAACAAGAGGTTCGAAATTTTTATCAATAGTACTTTTTCATCATCTTTGTACCAACTGTCTTTGCATATAAATAATCAGGGCCTAGTAACACATTTGTAGAGGACTGGAGAAAATTGTTTTCTTCAGGATTATTATGTGATATTGATGCTTTTTTGTTGGATGTAACCTACTGTATAGAAAATGTTATTACTAGATGGCTCAAGAAGTAATTGATATATTAACACGTTAATTTTTTTGGAAAAAGTTATTTACTAGGCTCATTTATTTCTTATTCCTTAGCAATAGTAAAGAGTGACAGAAGTCTTATTTTGTGTAGAAATGACTTTGTGTAGGATTAGGGAAGCCTGGGGTTGCTCTTGTTTATAGTTAAGGAAACTCCAAATTGTGGTACAAGGTGGTAAATGTGTTCCTGAGATAGTAGAATATAGGTAATAGACAGAGAAACAAGAAAATGCCCTCCTGTTCTTTTGCATCCCATTTTCCTAGCCTGGGTTAAAGATAAGTCATAGCTTAAGGCTACCAGCCTGGAGTTGCCTTGCTCTTCTTGCCTGAGGCAACTGGACTCCATAGTAATTAGGCTGGTGAGAAAGAGCTGAGATCCCGGCAAGGCCTCTCCCTTGCTTTCTACTGCAATGATTGTTTCAGACTAGATGGTACTGATTAGAGTTCATGCATCAGTACCTCCACTGTAGTCCTGAGATAGACAAGAGGTAATGGGGAGGATGCACATAGGAAACATGACGTCCGTGGCAACGTCAGCTTTGTTGCACTTGCAGTATTCTATTTTCATGTTGGGTGATAGGTAACATCATCAATGTGTACTTTATTGCTGTCTGTGCTTTGCATATGTCTAAAATAGTTTTATTTAAAAAAAAAAAAAAAAAACTTGCTGAAAGGGACTTCCTGGAACTATGTCAGCTGACAGACCTGCATTTTAGAACATGTGTGTATGTTCATTGCTGTCTTCAGTGGCTTCCCTTTCTCCTCTGTTCCCTGGCCTTCCAGTTTCATTCCAGCAGATCTATGACCACCTGTTAACACTTCCCAGATACCTTTGGTCTCCAGCCTCCTCCTCCCTTCTTGGTTCCTGTTCTCTATTTCTAACTACTTGTTTAACATTTGAATTTGAATACACAGTTGTGTTCGGCAACACAATTTGGTGACACAAACTTAACGTGTTTAAAACTGATCTTCCTGCACTTCACAAAATACCATATTTTTCGTTTATCTTAATACTGTTCATAATTTCTGTATTTCACTGTTTCTTCACTTGAAATCTCCAAGTCACCTATTAAAATTCTGTCTCTGTCAAGGCATTATTGCTAGCTTCATCAAGCAGTGCTGCCCTCCTGGCATTTTTGTGTTTGACCCATTCTTTCATCACTTCCCTTGAGTCCTTTTCGTGAGCGCCTTCTGCAAGTCCTGCCCTTCTCATCAGACTGTAGCTCTTGAGCTCCCATCTTGGTCTTTCTTGCTGTTGCGTTCTTTCTACATAGCATGGGTCCTAGACTGTGAAGTCAGTTGGAAAGTTATTTGTTGAGTGATTTGTGATTCAATGGTACAGTGTTTGTTTGCTGCAATTACTCTTTAAGAACGGAGATGAGGCGCCTGGTGTTTGGGTGATCCCGACTTCAGATCCAGCGGCTAACTTGCATCCAGCTAAACCTAAAGATTTTTCGGCTTTCATTAACCTGGTGGAATTTTGCAGGTATTTTGTAAAAATTTAATTATTTAAGAATAAAAATGATTATTAGTAATTGGCTGTAAATTCCTCTTATAGATATAAGAAAGGAAATAATAGAAGACTTAAAATCTATCATTGATTATATAGATCTTCAAAATATATCTAAGTGTACCACCTTACAGTTTTCATTATTTATTTTTTTGAGATGGAGTCTCGCTTTGTCAGCAGGCTGGAATGCAGTGACATGGTCTCAACTCGCTGTAACTGCTGCCTCCCAGGTTCAAGCGATTGATTCTCCTGCCTCAGCCTCCAGAGTAGCTGGGACTACTGGCACACGCCACCATGCCCAGCTAATTTTTTTTTTTTTTGTATTTTTAGTAGAGATGGGGTTTCGTCATGTTGGCCAAGATGGTCTAATGATCTCTTGACCTTGTGATCCACCCGCCTCTGCCTCCCACAATGCTGGGATTACAGGCATGAGCCACCGCACCCAGCTCCGTTTTCATTTTTTTTTTATATTTGAAAGATCCTCAGGTAGAGAAAATGGGTTATAGATATATCTAAACATTTTATGTATATCGAAAATTGTTGTGATGGAATTGTAGCTTACACTTGTTTATGTTCCTTATACTTATAAAGCTAAATACGATTAGTATGATAACAATTTCTACCTTCAATTTCTAATTTGTTTTTGCAGAGAGATTCTCCCTGAGAAACAAGTTGAATTTTTTGAACCGTGGGTGTACTCATTTTCACATGAGTTAATTTTACAGTCGACAAGGTTGCCCCTCATCAGTGGTTTCTACAAATTGCTTTCTATTACAGTAAGAAATGCCAAGAAAATAAAATATTTTGAGGTGAGTCTTTTTTGCAGGGCATTGAATCTTCTTGTGTTTTTTTTTTTAGGTCATGAGTCATAAAATGTGTGATTATGGCCCATGCTGTTTTAAAGTCTACTAATTTTATTATATGTATTTAATAAAATGATGAGTGGCAGTTGGATAGCACTCTAAAAACTTAGCAGCATTTTTTGCCCTGATGCTCAAGCACCTGGCTAATTATATAAGATTAACAAGGCCTCTTAAAGTGTGGTCCTGGGACCAGCAGCGTTGAGCATTGCTTTCTGCATCAGAAGCCCTGGGGGGTGGTCTCTGCCACTTGTGCTAGCAGCTGCCAGGTGATTCTGGCACCTAGTGAAGTTTGAGAACAACTGAATTAGCATTCTGGAGGCTCCAGTCAGTAACTTGTGGAGCCCACCTGGGTGATTACAGAGTGAGATGGAGAAGAGGGAATGGATTTAGCTGTATCCATGGCTTCTGACTAGCTTCTGCCTTCCCCCTTCTTGTACTGACTGGCCTGTGACTTGAAATGTCTGCAGAGCTGATTCTCCCTCCGGTCTGCACTAGATTTTGGTAACTTGAAATGGATTTGCGCCTTTGAAGACAAGCTGGGAAGTACTGGATTAGGATACAGTCTCCAGATTCTTGTGCAGTGTACTAACTTGCTGTTTTATTTGACAGGGAGTTAGTCCAAAGAGTTTGCAGCACTCTCCTGAAGACCCAGAAAAGTATTCTTGCTTTGCTTTATATATGAAATTTGGCAAAGAGGTAATTTTTAAATAATTTATCTTAGTGTTATCATGAGCTATTGTTAAATGAATGTCTATTGAAAAAATCCTAGTGATCATAAATAATCTAATTATTTTAAGAATTGGTACCGGGCACGGTGGCTCATGCCTGTAATCCTAGCACTTTGGGAGGCTGAGGTGGATGGATCAGAAGGTCAGGTGTTTGAGACCAGCTTTACCAACATGGTGAAACCCCGCCTCTACTAAAAATATAAAAATTAGCTGGGTGTGGTGGCGTGAGCCTGTAATCCCGGCTACTCAGGAGGCTGAAGCAGGAAAATCACTTGAATCTGGGAGGTGGAGGTTGCAGTGAGCCGAGATGGTACCATTGCGCTGCTTCCTGGGTGACAGACTTCCTCTCAAAAAAACAAAAATAAACAAATTGGGCTGGGTTGGGAGGCTGCGGGAGGAGAACTGCTTGAATCGGGAGACAGAAGTTCCAGTGAGCTGAGATGGTTCCACTGCACTACAGGTTGGGCAACAGAGCAAGACACTGTCTGAAAAAAATATAAAAACAAAAACTGATTTGCTAAATCTAGAGTGGGGGTATGTCTTAAAAAAATGAATAGAGGAAATTATTGTGCTTCAAAAGTCCTCAGCTAGGTGCAGTGGCTCATGCTTGTAGTACCAGCACTTTGGGAGGCCAAGATGGGCGGATCACTTGAGGGTAGGAGTTTAAGACCAGCCTGACCAACGTGACGAAATCCCTTCTCTACTAAAAATACGAAAAATTAGCCAGATGTGATACTATGCGCCTGTAATTCTAGCTACTCGGGAGGCTGAGGCAGAAGGGTCACTTGAAGGGAGGTAGAGATTGCAATGAGCCAAGATTGAGCCATTGCACTCCATCCTGAGTGACAGAGCAGGACTCTACCTTAAAAAAAGAAAAAAAGTTCCTCAGGCTCTTTTAACATAATTCAGTTGAGTAATGGCAACTCAAGATGAAATAGATTCTTGCTTTTCCATGTAGTAGGAATTATGCATTTCAACAAATTAACTTTCCTGGAGGTTAGTGCATAATTTGTAAGTGAATGTGGTCTTGTCAATAAAGGCTACAAGCCCATTTTTTGTATTTGAGAATAGGGCAAATATTTTTTAGTTGATTTTCAAAAGTAGGCTCTATTCAGATACACAGCACTGTCTTCCTTCTTGTTTAGGTGGCAGTTAAAATGAAGCAATACAAAGATGAACTTTTGGCCTCCTGTTTGACCTTTCTTCTGTCCCTCCCACATGACATCATCAAACTCGATATTAGAGCCTATGTTCCTGTGCTGCAGGTAGGTGTTATCTTGAAGAGAGCCACATCTTCATCACTGTTGTGAGTCCTAGAGCACATGGAAACACCATGCTCTTGCCCTGGCAGTCCCAGCAGGCGCTTCCCAGCAGGCACAACTGGGTCAGGGTCTGCTTCTGCCACTTACTGGCTTTGGGACTTAGACCCTTGGTGACTTCTAAGCTGCACTTGGAGGTCGATGTGAGAGTTAAACCTGTGTGTCTTGAAAGTTTTGCAGTGTACCACAGTCACAGAGACAGCTGCTTGCTTTCCTCCTAATTTCCTGGACTAGACCCACTTACCTCCAGCAGTGTCTGGTGTCCGACATTAAAAGGAGTATTCATTAGAAACCACAATTAATTGGTATGTTTTTTCTTTAAATCTTATATTTCCTGCGTTTCCGATTAACTTGTTTGTATTAACATACAGATGGCTTTCAAACTGGGCCTGAGCTATGCCCCCTTGGCAGAAGTAGGCCTGAATGCTCTGGAAGAATGGTCAGTTTACATCCACAAACATGAAATGCAGCCTTATTACAAAGATATTCTCCCCTGCCTGGATGGATACCTGAAGATTTCAGCCTTGTCAGGTAAGGTTTAGAAGAATTGCTCTGTGTACTGTAATTAAAATGGAAATGGAATAGCTATAATAGGTAGGACTGTATTTTTGTAACTTCTGAAATTTAAACCCAACATGTTCAAAATATGTTTGATTGCTATTTTTGTAATTTCTCTTATTTATCTGAACATAATTGGGATGACTAAGAAATATAGTTGAGATATTAAAAATATTTTTCATTTATTTATAGCTTACTAATATTTATAAAATCTTCAGTAATAAGGACTGTCTTAAATACCTTGGGACTTTTTATGGCTCCTAATACACTGCTTTGCAAAAAATCTTGTTGAATAAATCAGTCAGGAATAAAACCTTTAGAAAGTTCAATAGTAATTTTGTATTTTAATTTCACTAGATTTTTATTGCTTTTTAGAACTGATGAAGCACACTAATTGTAGCTAATTAAAAATTGGGGAAAAAATGTCATGATAGAAAAATTAGGTTTGGGAAAAGAGTCAAAGAAACAAGTTATCTGGCCAGGTAGAAATATTACTAGTCAAGAAAAGAAAAAGTAGAACTTCAGAGTCAGGGTGGGGGCACAGACTTATTTAAACTGGAATGAAAAGAGGCATTGTCATCTGATGGAAGCAAAAAGAAAGATTCCATTGGGAGAAAGACTGAAGTATTTTTAAGAATTTGAACTTTACTGTCTTAAAAGTAGAAGTCAATTGTTAATTTGTAAGTTTTTTTTTTTTTTCATGAGGCCAAGAAAAGAAATATAGAAAAAAAGTGGTGAGGTTTTACTTATGTAAATCATTATTTTATTGTTAAATCTTATTGGCTTGGAAATACTCTGTGAAGGTTGTGACAGATTTCATTCACCATGTCTGGTTTTTGGGACATCCTCGGTATATATGCAGAGTTCATGAAGAAAGAGTCACAATTTTTAAAGATTATAATAACAAGTATATTTTAGAGACCAAAACCACAAACTAGTTAACTATATAGCTTTTAAAATTCACATTTATATAAGGAGTGCCATTTTTTGAGTATTCATGACAAATATATTACTTAAATGAATGTATCTGATAACATATCTTTGTAGTATTTTCTTTCTTGAGTCCTGTTAAGTAACTCATTGAAAAGATTTGTTTTAGATTAATAAAGGAAGTTACTGTGATTTTTTTTTTTTTTTTTTTTTGAGACGGAGTTTCGCTCATGTTACCCAGGCTGGAGTGCAATGGCGCGATCTCGGCTCACCGCAACCTCCGCCTCCTGGGTTCAGGCAATTCTCCTGCCTCAGCCTCCTGAGTAGCTGGGATTACAGGCACGCGCCACCATGCCCAGCTAATGTTTTGTATTTTTAGTAGAGACGGGGTTTCACCATGTTGACCAGGATGGTCTCGATCTCTTGACCTCGTGATCCACCCGCCTCGGCCTCCCAAAGTGCTGGGATTACAGGCTTGAGCCACCGCTCCCGGCCCTACTGTGATTATTTTAAACGATTTGCGTGTTAAACAGAAGTACTCTCAAGGTGATTTGATAATTGAGAAAAGCAGAAAGTAAGCAAAATTAGGTGACAAAAGTTACTGTTTTAAACTTTTTTTTGATATATCAAACTTTCAGAACAATTGCCTGAACAGTAAGAAGAACTCCATGTGTTCCGTCTAGATTCACCAGTTATTAAGATTTTGTACCATTTGTGTTATTCCCTGTACTTTCTCTGTTGTATGCATGTGCATGTTTTTATATTTACATGGGACATGTAAAACAGTTTTTTCAGAACTGTTTGTGAATAAGCTGAAGATGTTATAGATCTTGAATGTGTCATTGTATATTTCTTAAGAGCGAGGATGTTCTTTTACATAACTGCAGTATCATTATCAAAATCAGGAAAAATAACATGGGTACATACTCTTTCAAATTATAGTCCATGTGCAGGTTTTTCACTTGTCCCATTAATTTCTTTTTTAGTGACACCTGTAGGCTCATGTGTTACTTTTAGTTGTAACTCTTCAGCCTTCTTTAATGTGGGATAGTTCTTCAAGCTTTTTTAGTTCTCATGTCCTGACATTTTTGAGGGCTGTAGGCCAGTTATTTTGTACAGTGTCCTTCCACGTGGGTTTGTCTGGAGTTTCCTCTTGGTTAGTTTTGGGCTGATGCTAGGTCCTTTTAGGACAGTTAGTGCCTTTGCTAGCTGTTTTCACTCTAACCAGTTGGCCAGTGTTTGCATTATCTTTTTGTGGTTGTCAAGTTACTATTTCTCCCTCTTTGTGAGTTAGTAATTTGAAGCCTTCCTAGAGTGATCAGTCCTGAGTTCTTTAGGTGGTACAGAGGAAGGTAGATACTGGGCAGGGGGAGGTCCCAGGTGCTCTCGAGGATGTGAGGAGGGCATGCCTTAAGGGGTGGCGTGGCGTGGAGTCCACCAAGCAAGATGAGGTACCCACATGTTGGGACAGCTGTCTAGGATGTCAGGGTGCAGGCTGGGCGAGGAGGGGATGGAGATAGTAGTTTGGTTACATACAGGGAATTGAATAAATACATAAATTCATTGAGAATAAAAGAAACTAGGTGTCTCATGTTGAAGTGAGCTACAAATACAGAAAGACAGGAAACTGGAATGGACACGGGGGAGGTGCATTGGAAGTGGGTATATCGGTGTGAACTGATGGTCCTCCTTCTCTCTCTCCCCCTCCCCAGTTACATATGTACATTCACATATGGATGCATCTAAATAAATGTGGAAATAGAACTGAGAGGGAGAGAGAGATAGAGTGTGCATGTGCGTGTGTGTATGTGAGAGACAGAGATACACGTACTCTGTCCACTGAAGGGGCCTTCCTGGGAGCGTGGTACCTGAATAGAAACAAGCAAACCTGGCATCTGGGTCATGGCCTCCAAATCTCATTTTCTTTTTTATGTTTTTTTTTTTCTTTGAGACAGAGTCTTACTCTGTTGCCCAGACTAGATTGCAGTGGTGCAGTCTTGGGTCACTGCAACCTCTACCCAGTGGGCTTAATTGATCCTTCCACCTCAGCCTCCCAAGTAGTTGAGATTACAGGCATGCACCATCATGCCTGGCTAATTTTTGTATTTTTAGTAGAGATGGAGTCTCACTATGTTGAACAGACTGGTCTCCACCCCCTGACCTCAAGTGATCTGCCCAGTTTGGCCTCCCAGAGTGGTGGGGTAAGCCATCACGTCCAGCCCTACAGCTCATTTTACATTAATGGAACCCGGACTCGTTGGTTCCAGCCTGGGGCCAGGAAAATATATTATGAACTTAGAATACTATATTTTATAGAACATCCAGAAAGTAAGAACCTATTCAAAGAATGATGGGGGAAGTGTCACAGGCAAAATAAGTGATGATTTGAGCATCAAAATAAATACTTCGGAAACATTATAATCCATGGAATCAAATAGGAAGCAATGAGCATGTACAGATATAAGTAAGTAAAATGAGCAAGTTAAAGTTTCCTAGTGGGGTTTGTTTTTTTTGTTTGGTATGTAGTAAGTTCTTGTAAACTTAGCTTAAAATAGCACCTGTGAATTATTTCATAGATTTGTAGGACACAAGTCCAGATGGGCTGAGGCATATGGCTGAAATCAAGCAGTTGGCTAGGCCAGGCTTATTCACTCCCCATCCAGGTTGTTGCCAGGATTCAGTTTCATGTGATTGGTGGACCGAGGTTCCTGTCTCCTTGCTGACTGATGGCTGGAGTGTGATTCTCAGTTTGTGGAGGCCTCTGAGTGTCCTAGGTGGCCCCTGCACCTTCACAGCCAGCATGACACTTTCAATTCCTTGTATGCTCCAAGTCTGACTTCCTTTTCTAATACTTGCTGCAGAAAACTACTTTGAAGGGGCTTGTGTGATTAGCTTAGGACCACTTGGATGATCTCTCTTCTGCCATTGACATAATAGTTATGGGAGGAACTCCAGAAGCAGGTCATGAAGCTGTCTTAAAATTCAGTCTACCACACATGGTTTTAAAGTACCTCACTCAAACACGTACTAATGATTGAGAGTGAAAATAGTGACTTTACAGCAGAGACACCTGGTAGAGCCCTTCTTAGCTCATTGACTAGCAGTCAGACTTGTGGGCCACACGTGTGTCCTGATGTGGCTTGCTGAGGGGATCTCAGTGCCACTCTGGGCCTCTCCTGCTAAAGACACACGGCCTGAATCTCCTTTTTCAGACAGTGAAGTCAGCGTAAAGGTCAGAAGTTTTTTTATAAGTCAGCGAATTTTTTGCTATCTTGGCAGATTACGTAGAAAGAATAACTTCTTGGCTGAGCACAGTGGCTCATGCCTGTAATCCCAGGACATCGGGAGGCTAAGGCATGTGGGTCACCTGAGGTCAGGAGTTTGAGACCAGCCTGGCCAACATGATGAAACCCCACTTCTACTAAAAAGACAAAATATTAGCTGGGCATGGTGGTGCACCCCTATAATCCCAGCTACTCAGGAGGCTGAGACAGGAGAATTGCTTGAACTCGGGAGGTAGAGGTTGCAGTGAGCAGAGATTGGGCCACTGCACTCCAGCCTGGGCCACAGAGAGTAGAGATTGGGCAATGCCCTCCAGCCCGGGCCACAGAGATAGACTTTGTCTCAAAGAAAAAAAAAAAAAAAAAAAAAAAGAGAAGAAAGGCTTCTCATGGTATAGGCGAAGACCTTAATCATTAAGCCAAAGAAGGAAACTTTTCAAGGTTGAGTGACCTTTGCTAGAAATTTAACTCATTTCAAATTATCTTTTCAGAGTCATATAGTTACTTTCCAAGATGGGTCCTGTGTTACGTCCCTGCATATTCTGAAACCTGTTGGCATAACTTTCAAACGCCAGTTTCCAGGGAATCTGGGAGATGAAAACTATTCTTATGGAAATACTGAGATGTAATGCAATGTTAACATGATTTCCAAATTAGTCAATAAGTCTTTAAAACATTGTTTCTGTTTCCAATATGGTAACTGCTACTAGTTTTAACCCACAAAAGGAAGATCTGTGGAGTAACTCCCAACTCTGGAAAGAGATCCAGATCCCAAAAAGCCTGAGACTCACTGTTTTATGAGAAACTATCCTCCTTCCTTAAAAATAAAAAGCAGGCTAGGTGCGGTGGCCCACACCTGTAATCCCAGGTACTATTTTGAGTGACTGAGGGAGGAGGATCACTTAAGGCTAGGAGTTCAAGACCAGCCTGGACAACATAAGGCGACCTCATCTTTACAAAAATTTAAAAATTAGCTGGATGTGATAGTACAAGCCTGTGGTTTCAGCTACTTGGGTGGCTGAGGTGTGAGGATTGCTTGAATCTGGGAGGTTAAGCCTGCACTGAGTCATGATTGTACCACTGCACCATAGCCTAGGTAACAGAGTGAGACCCTGTCTCAAGAAAGGAAAAAGAAAAATCAGATTAGGTGCTATGGCTCATGCCTGTAATCCAAGAAAAAAAAAAAAAAAAAAAAACCAGGTCGGGTGCAGTGGTTCACGCCTGTAATCCCAGCACTTTGGGAGGCCAAGGTGGGCAGATCACCTGAGGTCAGGAGTTCAAGACCAGCCTGGCCAACGTGACAAAACCCCGGTTCTACTAAAAATACCAAAATTATCTGGGTGTGGTGGCGTACACGTGTAATCCCACCTACTCGGGAGTCTGAGGCAGAATTGCTTGAACCTGGGAGGTGGAGATTGCAGTGAGGGGAGATCATGCCATTACACTCTAGCCTGGGTGATAGAGCAAAAGACTCCATCTCGAAAAAGAAAAATGAAAAATAAAAACCCAAAAGCATGCATGCAATTGTAGTTCTGTACTATTTTTCTAATATAACCACACAACCTCTTGTTAATTTTGCAGCTTACTAAACTCATATTTCACCTGGAAAACTGGGGTGGGTAATTGATAAGAGCCTCATACACCGGCAGTATGAGACTAATGGAGCTCACACATACCACTGTCTGTGCCCCCCTGCAAGAGACAGTGCACACGCCTGTTAGCATGACCCAAGGCTCCCATCTCCAAGGACCTACGAAAGCAAGAAGGAAAAGCACAGAAACACAGAACTGTGCCTTTTCATCAGTATTTAAGTATTTTAGTAATATTTTGCTTAGAAATTATCAAAGTACCCAACTATCCAAAGTATCCATTAATTCAGTCAGTCCAAGCTTGGAAATTATGTAAAGATATTTGAGATTATCTTCCAGTTGGCATGCTACACAGTGTAATTACTGGGGAAATAAAAAGTTTAACCAGATAATGATTCAGTTTAGTTAGCCATAAACTTATATTTTTCATAATCTTAAAAGTTGTATAGGACTGTTTCAGATGTTTTAAAAGTTCTAGAGATGGATGTAGTGATGGTTGTACAACATTGTGAATGTAATTAATACCACTCAATTAGACACGTAAAAATGGTTAAAAAGTACATTTCATGTTATGTATAGTACACCACAATTTTTAAAAAGTTATGAGAAGTAATTTTAGCTTACTAGACTAAATAACTATAGAGAAAACAAACCCAAGTAGAATAAAGTATATGTTCATATTATATTTAATACTGATACATAAAATATTATTTATTTAAACCAAAATATTAAACTTGTCTGTTTACTATAGATGTGCCTTAATTATGTGAATATGGATTCCTAAATGATCCTGAGTTGAGAAAACTTTAAAGATTTTTAAAATCCAGCAAATTTAAAACACTGTTAGTTCAACTACTTTATTTTTGGAGAATTTTAGAAATCCATAATTTACATATCTGTATAAATCAGAGCAGAGCTCTTTTAATTTCAGAAACTTTATAATCTAATATTTTATAATCTAGTTTTTCAATACCCTCCAAATACAGGAGAACATTATACACAAAATTAGGTAGAGGCCTTTATTAACCATAGATACATAGATGCAAAGATACACAGAGAACTTAGTGAATAGTTTCAATTCTGCAATTTGAGCCGAAAGCCAGGAGATACAGACATAGAAAATACTGAATAGTCCAGATATCAAAGATCTGTTTTTCCCAGTGGACTAAAAATTCTTAACGTAACTGGAGTTAAAAAAAAAAAAAAAAAAACAAACCACCAAAAACTAGATTCTCTTATCATCTCTGGCCCATTAGAGAGTGGAACTCTAACATCTGTCATAGAAGGTCACCAGACGAACCACCCAATTATAGAAAGGAAAAGAACTAGCTAGAGAGACAGAGCAGAGGTAAAATCCCACTGCCAGGGATTCATTCTGGAACCAAGAGAAGAGTTGCTGGGGTTAAACCACCAGGAGGTGCCCTCCCACAGTGCAGCTCATCTGGCTGTGTCAGTGAATGCACGAACATCTCAGAACTGTTGGAAACGACTTTGTAGTTGCAGAACTGTGACTCTGCAGAGAGAAAATGAACGTGTCAAAGTTTATTTAATTCAGCAGTTAATAAGGGAACTAACAAAATGTTACAACTGGTTCCCATAACCTGAACCTAATCATGAGAAAACATTAGACAAATGCAAATGGAGGGACCCTGTATAAAATTACTGGCATATAATTTTTTAAATGTCTAAATTATGGAATGCAAGGAAATACTGAAGAATAGCTTCAGTCTGAAAGAGACTAAAGAGATAGGTCAACTAAGTGCAATATGCTGTCCTGATTAAAAACATACTTAGGTGAACTCTGAGTGGGGCTGAGGAGTGAATGTTGGTAATCTGGTTTGCATGGTTGTGGGGCCGTTGTGTGGGAGAATGTCCTATTGGAAAACACACATTGAGACATTGTGGGCAGTGGGGTATTGAGTTGGAGTCAGTGCCCTCAGTGCTTCAGGAAAGAAGCTATATACTCTTTGTCCTCTGTAAGTTTATGATTGCTTTAAAAAAAAAAAAAAAGGAATTTATGGGGGGGGTACTTTAACACTGTAAATATTCTTCTTTCTCCTCGAGCTCACCGTAATAGTTTAGTATTCACTGACAGTTCTTCCTGAATCAGTTCTTAAACGGTGGTAGTTACAAAACGGTGATTTTCTACCCCTATCATTTCTTTCATCCTGGTTGACATTCTATTGCAATAAATAACTTTCCCTATTATTTATCTATATTAGTAAGATTTGTGGATTCTTATTTTTTCAGTGGGTCTAATCTTTCGCCATTGTGATTGGTTTTGATGCTCAGATTGTCTGAGATTTGGCCCAGGTGTGATGCTTGGGAGCCACTGCTTGTGCCACAAGATAATTCAGGTTCTTCTTGACCCTGGAGTCAGCCGCTTCCTCAAGGAGGCATGTTCCTTTTGGCAGACAATGCTTTATGTTTAAAAACAACCACCATTTTGTATTTTTTGTTCTGGAAACTTACTTTTTAAAAATCTTAATTAAAATTAGGAATTTAATGTTTCTATTTGACAATATAATGTGTCCTCTCTAATGTGCATTAAATGAACGAATGAATGCTACTTTAAATGGATTTTTGTTTACTATTGATAGATGAGACCAAGAGTAACTGGGAAGTGTCTGCTCTTTCTCGGGCTGCCCAGAAAGGATTTAATAAAGCCGTATTAAAGCATCTGAAGAAGGCAAAGAACCTTTCATCAGTAAGCAGTTGTTTGTATTTTCTGTACCTTACATAATACAGAGATCAGATTCTAAACTTGTGAAAAGTAAAAATCTTCATTTAAAATGTTAGTTGTTTTTATGTACAAAGTAGAGCACAATATAGAAATAATTTTAATATATTGGCCAGGCATGGTGGCTCACACTTGTAATCCCAGCACTTTAGGAGGCTGAGGTCAGCGAATTGCTCGGTCCAAGCCTGGTGCAAGTTAGGAAGACCCTGTCTCCACTAAAAAATATAAAAATTAGCTGGATGTGGTGGCGCATGCCTGTGGCCTTAGCTGCTCTGGGGGCTGAGGAGGGAGAATCACCTGTGTCTGGGGAAGCTGAGGCTGTAGTGAGCAAGTTCACACCACTGCACTCCGGCCTGGAATGGGAGTGACCTGACTGAAAAAAAATTAATATATTTTTAGCCATGAAAATATAAACTATATTAACTATTTTGTTTACTTTTTTGGTCTTGCTTTTCTGTTTATCTCTGTCCTCAAATGTATTTGGTGGATAATCAGAGGTAAACTGGTTCATATTAAATAAGCAAGTCGGAATACTGATACCAGGGATACGTAAGACTTTCATTTATGACTAGATCTTAAATACGTTGTTTTATCAAGTTCAGTTCGTTTCAGTTTTCTTTTTTGTTCTTTTGGGTTTTTTGGGTTTTTTTTTTTGTGATAATTTCTTGAGGCCAGTTTTCTTGGGATGAGCCATATGATGTGATAGTCAGAATGATGTAAATAGAGAAAATTGAGTTAGAATATTTTGGAATGAACTAAAAATTAAAATTGGAAAAACTTTTAACATCTAAAAGTGATAATGCAAACTCTAGGGTCAGTTCTTCCTACATCATTATTTTGGGTACCTTTTGATTGAGAAACTAGAATGAAACTAGAAATGGCAGCATAAAATTTTTTATAATTTTATCACAGCAGGATAAAACAACTTGAATATATCTCTAGTTTTACAAGTAAAATTTCTTTTATTCTTACTGCTTTAATTTTGTTTTTGAGGCAGGGTCTCACATTATCACCCGGGCTGGAGTGAGGTGGTGTGATCTCAGCTCACCGCAGCCTCAATCTCCCAGACTCAAGTGATCTTCCTGTCTCAGCCTCCTGAGTAGCTAGGACCACAGGCGTGTGCCACAATACCCAGCTAATTTTTGTATTTTTTGCAGAGACAGGTTTTGCCGTGTTGCCCAGGCTGGTCTTGAACTCCTGGGCTCAAGCAGTCTGCCCAACTCAGCCTCCCAAATGCAGGGATTACAGGCTTGTGCCACTGTGCTTTGCCAAAATTTTTGTATAGATAGATACACAATGCCAATTCCTTAGGACCATGGTTCTCTAAGTATAGCTAGACCCTGGGTGATCCAGGGTGCAAGGCCAAAGCTATTTTTACTCTGTCTGTTTGCACCATGATATTATGCTAATCAAGCACTGTTGATTCCCTAGCATTGACTCTGAGCACAGATTTTTAAAAATATACTGTGTGAGGCAGTAGGTGCACATGAAGCAGGCCTGCATAGTGAAGTGTGACAGCTGTCTGGAGAAAAAGCACTGTATGGTGCTTTGAAACGGGAGTGAAGTAGCCACTGCTCTGTGGACACAATTTTTATTGAAATGACAACTGACACGCACACTGAGGTTATTCAGAGGTGGATGTGTGGCAGACATTTTCTCTAAAATGAACAGAGCCTGCCACTTCAAGGAAAACTTTTGAAAATCTGTTGCCAATGATAAAATTCAAGCTTTTAAGTGAGCTGTAAAATTTGGGAAAACTTGTAACTATTGCAAGTGAGTTTGATAGCTTCTTATTACTTAAAGTTTTTTTTTTTGAGACGGAGTCTCACTCTGTTGCTCAGGCTGGAGTGCAGTGGTAGCCTCTGCCTCCCAAGTTCAAGCGATTCGTCTGCCTCACACTCCTGAGGAGCTGAGATTGTAGGCGTGCAGCACCATGCCCAGCCAGCTTTTGTGTTTTTAGTAGAGACGGGATTTCACTATGTTTGTCATGCTGGTCTTTTACTCCTGACCTCATGATCCGCCCACCTTGGACTCGGAAAGTGCCGGAATTACGGGTGTGAGCCACTGCGCCTGGCCTAAGAGTTTTTCTTTAACATTGGTGATGATACTTGCTGATGTTATTTTTTGCGTATATGATGAAATGTGTCAACATGTGGGATACAATCCACTGAACGAGTATTTTCAGATGAGGAATACATAATGTTTCCAAATTATACATGGATGAAAAATCCACTGGAAGTGCAAGATCAGCCACTGGATTTTAAAGTAGTGGAGTACATAGAGTTCATGATAGCAATTCAGATCCCACATTGTAGCTAACCTTTAAGACACTACCGATGGTTCAGTTTTATTGTACTATCAAATAAGAATAACCACAGTTACCTAAAAAGACTATTTAAAATTTCCTGCCTGGTTTTCCAACTACATGTTGCTGTGAGGCTCAGACTGTCCCCCAGTGAGCTAGACTGTGAAGGGGTCTGCACTACTGTGAAACAGGATCACTTTGCCCATAGTTTTCGTTTCTTTGGAAAATATAGTTGCTTTTTATAAAAGTGTGTCATTTGTTAACATGTAATGGATTTAGTAGTTTTAATTAAATAAATATTTACATAATTTGTAGGTTTCAATTTCAAATGTCATTAATACTGATAAACAGGACCTACATAAAACAAAGCTCTTTGGGGGTCCTTGATATTTCTTAAGAATGGAAAGGATCCTGTCAAAAAGTTTGGAACTGCTGGTCTAGGAAATGGACATCTAATTGGTGGCAAAGAGTTTCTTCCTATCGACTTCTGTTTAATCTTTAACCCATTTGTAATCATATACATACAATTGTTCAAATTTACAGAGTGAAGCAATATCCTTAGAAGAAATAAGAATTAGAGTAGTACAAATGCTTGGATCTCTGGGAGGACGAATAAACAAAAATCTTCTGACAGGTAAACTTTCTTATATTTGTGCTTTTATTTAGATGTATCCAGGCTATAATATATTCTGAATGTTTACTTCTATATATGAGTTACATATTTTAAAATAAGATTATGAAGAATAATATCTTGCCTAATGAAATTCTTTGACTATATCCATAAAATTGGAGTAATTCAGTATACTAATAGAGCAAGTGTTCTAGCTTGTTAAGCATGTTACGTAGTTTGAAACAATGTAATCTGTTACTCTTTTCTATATTAAAGTGTCAAGAATTCCAAGTTAATCTTTTTGAGATAAATATTGTTAATATTTTTATATTTTTAGAAATTAAAAAATTGAGAATTATCATATTTGATTAGTAGGCTGGGTGTGATGGCTGTGGCCCATGATCCCAGCATTTTGGGAGGCTGAGGTGGGAGGATCCTGCCTGAGCTCAGGAGTTTGAGGCTAGCCTGGGCAATATCATAGCAAGAGGCTGTCTGTATTTTAATTTTTAAAAAAATCCACTTTTTGGTGGGGGTTGGGAATGGAGTCTTGCTCTGTCGCCCAGGCAGGAGAACAGTGGCACAATCTTGGATCACTGCAACCTCTACCTCCCGGGTCAAGGGATTCTCCTGCCTCAGGCGCTTCAGTGGGGATTACAGGCAGATGCCACCACTCCTGGTTAATGTTTTGTATTTTTAGTAGAGATTGGGTTTTACCATGTTGGCCAGGCTGGTCTTGAATTCCTGACCTCAGGTGATCCACCAGCTTTGGCCTACCAAAATGTTGGAATTATTGATGTGAGCCACCACACTCGGCCAAAAATCCACATTTTGATTAGTAAAAATTTATCTGTATTTTTACTTTTGAAATTTGGTGGTAAATATACTAGTGACTTTTGGTCATTTAGGGAGTTAGAGCCTGTATTTGTAAAGTGTTTTAATGAGGTTTTTTTTTTTAAAGAAAAATATTGTTCATTGACCTTTTTTCACAAAATACCTTAAGTAACTCTCACTGAATTTGGATATTAAACATTCAATACTATTAGGCGTGTTTAAAAGTGATTTTATGAGGCCAGGCACGGTGACTCAACGCCTGTAATCCCAAAACTTTGGGAGGCCAAGGCCAGTGGATCACGAGGTCAAGAGATCGAGACCATCTTGGCCAACATGATGAAACCCTGTCTCTACTAAAAATACAAAAATTAGCTGGACGTGGTGGCGCTTGCCTGTAGTCCCAGCTACTTGTGAGGCTGAGGCAGGAGAATTGCTTGAACCTGGGAGGCGGAGGTTGCAGTGAGCTGATACTGTGCCACTGCAATCTAGCCTGGTGAGAGAGCAAGACTCGTCTCAAAAAAAAAAAATAATAATTTTACTCTAAATTAAATAGACTGATTTTTAATATTTTAATTACATATCCGAGGCAAAAGAAAAGGGAAAGATGAAAAATGTGCTTCGCTTTAACAGAATGTAGAACAGCTGGCATTAGAAATGTTTCAATTTGTAAATAATTCTGACACTATTCTAATGCTAATAAAAAGAAAAAAAAATGTTCCGAGTGGAAAAACCCTCTTCTTAAATCTTTTCTAACAGTTACCTCCTCAGATGAGATGATGAAGAGTTATGTGGCCTGGGACAGAGAGAAGCGGCTGAGCTTTGCAGTGCCCTTTAGGGAGATGAAGCCTGTCATTTTCCTGGATGTGTTCCTTCCTCGGGTCACAGAATTGGCGCTGACAGCCAGTGACAGACAAACTAAAGTACTTCTATTTTTCATTTCACCCATTATGTAGAGCCTATTGCTTTAAAAATACATACTGGTTAGGAAATAGAGAACACACTTCAGCCATTCCAATATTAGAAGTTTTGTATTTTCTGTAATATAGTAATTAGAAAACTACTTATTAGAAGTCAGTGTCATTGATAAATGTAAGTTAAGCATAAATCATCTTAATGGATTATTGGGCTGGATGCAGTGGCTCATGCCTGTAATCCCAGTATTTGAGAGGCTGAGGCAGGCAGATCACTTGAGGTTAGGAGTTTGAGACCAGCCTGACCAGGATGGTAAAACCCCGTCTTTACTGAAAATACAAAAATAAGGTGTGGTGGCGTGTGACTATAGTCTCAGCAGCTCGGGAGGTTGAGGCAGGAGAATCCGTTTGAACCCGGGAGGCAGTGGTTGCAGAGCGAGTTGAGATTGTGCATTCCAGCTGAGCCACAGAGTGAGATGCTGTCTCCAAAAAAAAAAAAAAAAAAAAAAGCCTTTCAAAACGTTAATATACCAAAAGCTCTTCAATATATGAAATGCAATATTGAGGGCATTTACAAGTGATATTCAGTCTATGCTTGGTTATCCCCTTAACTTTGGGAGATTAGAAACAGATACTCTCAAATTTTCTTCCTGGCGTAGCATACTTTGGTGATATTGCAGGTTCCGCTCCAGACCACAGCAATAGAGTTAGTGTCTCTGCAGCCATAAAAAAGAATGAGTTCATGTCTTTTGCAGGGACATGAGTGAAGTTGGAAATCATCACATCATTCTCAGCAAACTAACAGAGGAACAGAAAACCAGACACCACATGTTCTTACTCATAAGTGGGAGTTGAACAATGAGATCACATGGACACAGGGAGGGGAACATCACACACTAGGGCATGTTGGGGTGGGGGGCTATGTGAGGGATAGCATTCGGTGAAATACCTAGGGCATATGACCGATTGATTGGTGCTGCAAACCACCAAGGTGCATGTATACCTATGTAACAAACCTGCACGTTCTGCACATGTATCCCAGAACTAAAAGTATAATAAAAACGAATAATTAAAAAAATATATCTTGGCCAGGCGTGGTGGCTCACACCTATAATCCCAGCATTTTGGCAGGCAGAGGCGGGCAGATTGCCTGACGTCAGGAGTTTGAGACCAGCCTGGCCAATGTAGTAAAACCCCATATCTACAAAAAATGCAAAAATTAGCTGGGCGTGGTGGTGCATGCCTATAATCCCAGCTACTCTGGAGGCTAAGGTAGGAGAATTGCTTGAACCTGGGAGGCAGAGGTTGCAGTGAGCTGAGATCGTGCCATTGCTCTCCAGCCTGGGTGACAACGACACTCGGTCTCAAAAAATATATATATATCTCAATGTAGCAAATCACATCAGTTTTTTGGTATTTCAGTACATGTAAAAGCCATGTTTACACTATACTGTGGTCTGTTTAGTGTGTAGTAGCATTGGGACTTAAAAAATACATTCTTCAATTTACATGCCCCAATTTAAAATACTGTGTTGCTTAGAAATGCTAACAAAGTGAGCATACGATGTGGGAAGAATTTTGCCAATAGGCTTTTTCAATGCAGGGTTGCCATAGACCTACAATTTGTTAAAAAATACATTGTGTCCAAAGCGTCATAAAATGAGGTATGCAAGTATTAATGTGTACATTTTCTATAGAACTTCAAAAGTATTTTTACTAAAAGTAATAGTTGAAAATGTGCTAACAGATGAAGCAAAGTTATATAGTTCTTTAATATGACAGCAGTGAAATATACTTCTCAAGAATGTATTGATGTCAATTTCTAAAGCTTTTAATTCTTAGTTCTTAGATAAAAACAAAGTGAACAGAATCACTAGTTTTGTACAACAAGAAATGCTTATTCTAGTTAATTTATATTTGTGTTGATAGTTATCTGCACTGAAATTTTTCTTCTTAAAGGGCCAAATTGAGTGACATTTCAAATATTCTCTTGTCATCAACATGATTACTTAGACTTTGCTGTCCTTCTGGTCTGTTTTAGGTTGCAGCCTGTGAACTTTTACATAGCATGGTTATGTTTATGTTGGGCAAAGCCACGCAGATGCCAGAAGGGGCACAGGGAGTCCCACCCATGTACCAGCTCTATAAGCGGACGTTTCCTGTGCTGCTTCGACTTGCATGTGATGTTGATCAGGTAAGGGCTTTGAATCTGAAACAGTCATAAAACTTTAAAAAGTTTGGTTTGTTTGGTTCAGTGGTTAGCAAGGCATGCTGCATATTGGAATTACTTGGAGATCATTAACAATACTGCTGCCTGGCTGCTACCCCAGGTGCTCTGGTTTAATCAGGCATGTTCATGACCTGGGCACAACCTGGGCACCAGGACTCCTAAAAGCTCTCCCCTCCACTTTTAGTGTGTCTCAAGAGTTTGGGAATTGTTGTTGTAGTTAAAAGTTACTGAGAGCCTGCCCAGGCATCTAACGGTGAGTCAGCTCTCACTCCTCTCATGGACGAATGTAGTTTTTCACAGGGGGAAGAATAGAGAAATTACCATGGGCCGGGAGCCCGGTGGCTTGCACCTACAATCCCAGCACTTTGGGAGGCTGAGGTGGGTAGATCACCTGAGGTCAGGAGTTCAAGACCAGCCTGGCAAACATGGTAAAACCCCCATCTTACCAAAAATACAAAAATTAGCTAGGCATGGCAGCGTATGCCTGTAATCCCAGCTACTAGAGAGGCTGAGGCAGGAGAATCACTTGAACCCAGGAGGTGGAGATTGCAGTGAGCTGAGATCATGCCACTGCACTCTAGGTTGGGCGACAGAGGGAGATGAGACTCATTCTCAAAATAAAAAACAAAAAAATAACCGAGGCTTATAGTCATGGAGGAGGTTGGAAATGCTGGCAAGTGGCCTATACCTGATGATTTTATGAACAAATCCTTCACTGCTGGCCATAAAGCAGAAAAAGATAAGAAATCAGGGTACATACATGAAACTGAAACGCAAGATCACCTGAGGTCGGGAATTTAAGACCAGCCTGACCAACATGGAGAAACCTTGTCTTTATGAAACATTAGCTGGGCATGGTGGCACATACCTGTAATCCCAGCTACTTGAGAGGCTGAGGCACGAGAATCGCTTGAACCTGGGAGGCGGAGGCTGCAGTGAGCTGAGATCATGCTACTGCACTCTAGCCCAGGCAACAGTGCAAGACTGTCTCCAAAAAAATAAATAAATAAATAATGAAAATGAAACACAAAACTCATTTATAATGCAGTTGGAAAATTCTGCAGTACACATGAGTGAATGTAGTCTAGCAGTATGTTCAGGTGTACCGTGATTAAGTGGAGTTGATGGTGAAAACTGGAAACTTGTGACAGAAATAGATTTAACGTAGCAGTGAACCTCTCCACGGAAGCCTGGGAGGCATTTGGCAGCTCCTGATAAACTAGTCATTTCACATGATCTTTAATCTGATAGAACGTCAGCCTGAATCTTAAGCAGCCAAGTCATCCTCTTATGTGAAGTACCGATACTCCCTTGTGCTTCTACCCAGCACAGGAGCACTGCCTATTTCTGGGAAGGGTCAGTGCTTCACTTGGAAGTAGTTATTTCCATGTTTAGCATCCGACCCTCTCAAGGCCTGTGAGTCCCCTGAGAGCATGGACAGAGCCTGATGTTCCTTTCTCTCTCTCGCTCTTCAGCATCTGCCTCAGCACTTGGCTCCTGGCAATCAAAAGATGATTGTTACTGGGCTAGTAAGGCTAGGACATCAGCCCTACTATTTGGGAAATTCCAGTCAATAATGTAAGATAAGAAAATCATAGGAATATTAGGAAGGAGAGAAGATTATTATTTTGAACATAATTATTTTCAAAAATCTGGAAGGCCAGGCTTAAGCATATCAGCTGATAAACCGATAAAGGAAAGCGCTGATAAATTATACACACAGAATTTTCATATATCAGCTATTTTGTTATGTTAGTCTCATTTAATTTATATATCAGTATTGATCACTTGAAAAATATGTCTATAACATCTTGTTGGTAACAGCATAAAAAGGTGTAGGAATAAACTTCAGTGTGCCAGGCAAATGTATTTTACAACTATAGAAGATGAATAGCGTATATACTTGAGTTAGAAGACTCATTACTGAAAAAAATATCAGTTTTCCCAAATTAATAGATAACGCTGGTGTAATTTCAGTAAAAAAATCCAGAATTAATTTTGTTTTTTTCACTTAAAAAAATTATCAGTCTGAAGGAATAATTGCTTGAGCCTAAGCAAGACCCATTTTGAAAGGTAGCGTGCTGGAGGGAGTCTTGTGTAGGAGATGTTAAAAAGGGGCCTTATGGAGTTTAAGAGGTTGAACCAGTGCACAGATGGCTTGGTAAGAGAGCTAGGTGCTGGGAAGTGGCCCCTTGTGTGTCTGTGAAAATTGCGTGTGTGGTAGGGGGTCATTTAAGTGGGAAATGGGTCATTTAATAAATGGTATTAGGTCAGTTGACTAACTGTTAAAGAAAAAATTCTGACATTCGTTAAAGATGTTAAGGCAAACTATTAAAGGGCCTATTCCAGTGGGCGTTTCCACTACTGGAGAGGGATGGGGTTCTACTCTAAATGCTCATTGACCAGGGAGATTAATAGCCGAGGAGTAGGGTCAGGGTCAGTGGTTGGAAAATCACTAAAAGGAAACGTCAGGCGTCAAGAGGATTTTGGCTGTACCAATCTAACAGTGTTACGGCAAAAACAAAACAAAACAAAAAATGTATATAAATAAACTCTTTTGAAAGTTAACAGTGGTTACCTTTGGGATGTAGGATTGTAGAGGGATGGTTTTCTATAATATAGGGGTATGTGTATATTGTATATATATCTAGCTATGTATACATGTATTTAAAAACTTCTGTACTAAGAGTAAAATAGTATGATACCTTTGTGGGGGAAAAAAAAAAGTGATGTTTTAAGACCAGGTTAACTTTTAAACTGAAAGTTAAGACCCTTTTATATTGATTAATCTTAAAAATTGCTTCATAGAGGCCAGTTGAAAAATTGGGGGAAAAAATAGCTTAAAAGGCTAAAAAAAAAAAAAACTCTTTGGAAGGGTCTCTATGTTGTTTAGCCTGAGCCCTGGGACATTTTGCATGGTTTTTGAGGTGTTATTAACTACAGTAGGGACATCTAATATCAAAGTACTTCATTGTTGAGCTCAGTAACTGGGGAATAAAACTCTCCCGGATGGCTCAGTGCTCTCATAAAAGCCGTGGCCTCTGAGGCAGAAATGTACAGGATGTCAGCTTTGGGAGTGTTTGCCTTAACTTCCACCACAAGCATTTTACTCTTTTTCTTTCCTTTTTTTTTTTGAATATGGAGTCTCACCCTGTCTGGAGTGCAGTGGCGCAATCTTAGCTCACTGCAACCTCCACCTCCCGGTGCAAGCCATTCTTCTGCATCAGCCTCCGGAGTAGCTGGGATTACAGGTGCCCACCACCACACCCAACTAATTTTTGGATTTTTAGTAGAGATGGGGTTTCATTATTTTGGCCAGGCTGGTCACGAATTCCTGACCTCAAGTGATCCGCCCTCTTTGGCCTCCAGAAGTGCTGGGGTTACAGGCACGAGCCACTGTGCCTGGCGATTTTTATCTTCTTTAAACACAGTGTCCCTCTGTCACCCATGCCGGAGTGCAGTGGCACAATCGTAGCTCCCTGGAGCCTCCATCTCCTGGACCCAAACCATCCACTTGTCTCAGCTTCCTGAGTAGCTGGGACTACAGGCACTCACCACCATGCCCAGCTAATTAAAAAATAATTTTTTTAGAGACAGGGTCTTGCTATGTTGTCCAGGTTCGTCTTGAACTGGCTTCAAACAACCCTCCTGACTTGGCCTCTCAAAATGCTGGGATTATGGATGTGAGCCCCGGTGCCTGGCCAGCATTTTATTTACTCTCATGTATAATGAGGATTAGATCTGAAGCAGTTTGTATAGTTATAATTGCTCTGATCCAATTCTCTTACTGCCCCAAGATGGTCACACCTTGACCAGGTCACTAGGTTACACTTCAAGCTTCCAGGAAGACAGGAGCTCTGCTTCTTTGGGTATGGGTTTACTTTTCAGAAGGAAGGAGTTCAGGCCTGGAGGCATCTTGGTTTTACAAAGCCAGAGGGCATGGGGCTGTCTGGCTCCTGGAGAGGCTTTATTTATGTTCCAGAAGATTAGACCTAGGATCCTTTTCATCCCATCTCTGTAGAGGTTTTTTTCCCCTTCTTTTGGCAGCAGTGGCAGAGGCAGTTTCCTCTTTGTCCTGAACATAAACAGATTAAATCTGTTTTTCTCTGTTCTTCCCCTGTAGTATAGGCTTTGAATTTGTGTATATAGGACATTGATTGGACTTTGGTTTTGTCACCACAAGGGGAACAGTTATGCTGTTAGGGAGCCACAGGATTGTTTCCTTTATATAATAGTTGAATAGTGATTATCTGTCTGTAATCCAGAATATCCCGTGTGCATATTGAAGATCAAATTACTAAGATGAGTATTAAAAACCCAACAATATCTACCCTAAGTTGCCCTTGCAATCAGAGGAACAATGAGCTTTAGTATGCGTATTTTTGATGGACTCTTCATCATGGAATTAAACAAGAAAAGGAAACTAATGGGACTGAGGATGGTGGCTCATACCTGTAATCCCTGCACTTTGGGAGGCTGAGGTGGGAGAATCACTTGAGGCCAGGAGTTCAAGGCCAGCCTGAGCAACATAGCAGGACTCTGTCTCTACAAAAAGAAAAAAATTTAAGTTAGCTGGGCATGGTGGGACATGCCTGTAGTCCTGGCTATTCTGGAGGCTGAGGTGGGAGGATCACTTGAGCCTGAACTAAAAAAGGAAACGAATACAATCATGGTGGTAGTATTCGTTAATTTTACCCCACTGCAAACGCCATTTAAATGGGACATGTTACAGTATAAAATTTCTTCAACATGAAGGGAATTAACTCTAATGATATTCTTTCTTCAGGTGACAAGGCAACTATATGAGCCACTGGTTATGCAACTAATTCACTGGTTCACTAACAATAAGAAATTTGAAAGTCAGGATACTGTTGCCTTACTAGAAGCTATATTGGTAAGTAATAGTTAATTCTTTTCCTTGTATTCCCATTGATTAGTTGTATTTGATGTTTGTTTATTTATGTTTTTGAGACACAGTCTCGTTCTGTTGCCCAAGCTAGAATGCAATGGCACGATCTTGGCTCACTGTAACCTCCTCCTCCCAGGATCAAGCACTTCTCCTGTTTCAGCCTTCTGAATAGCTGAGACTACAGGCGTGCCCTACCATGCCTGCCTAATTTTCTATATTTTAAGTAGAGACGAGGTTTCACCTTGTTGGCCAGGCTGGTCTTACTCCTGACCTCAAGTGATCCACCCACCTTGGCCTCCTAGAGTGGTGAGATTATAGGCCTGAGCCACTGCACTAGGCTGGCTGATGTGTATTTAGAAGTTTAACAAGTCACCTTTCAGAATCCCAAAATATGGCATGTAGCTGGATTATTTTCTTCTTTTTTATTTGTGAAATCATGTTGTAATGGACATGATGCCATATTTACTTTCTTGAGTGTTACTTTTAAATATCTGCAATGAAATGCTAGTTCTTAACGTTTTGTTCTGTTTCTGGGAGGATGGTTATAAGACCTGACAAGTTTCATCTACATTAATGGTGTGAGTGTGTGTGTGTGTGTGTGTGTGTGTGTGTGTGCATGTGTGTGGAGGGTGTAAGGAGTAAGAATGTTCTTAGACTTCATCAGTTGCGGTAGCTCTTAAAAAAGAAATACCCAGCTGATCACAGTGGCTCATGCCTGTAATCCCAATACTTTGGGAGGTAGAGTCAGGCAGATTGCTTGAGCCCAGGAGTTGGAGACCAACCTGGCCAACATGGAGAAACCCTGTGTCTATTAAAAATACAAAAATTAGCTGGGCTTGGTGGTATATACCTGTAGTCCCAGCTCCCCAGGTGGCTTCGGCATGAGAATAGCTTCAAACTGGGAGGCAGAGGTTGCAGTGAGCTGAGATTGCACTACTGCACTCCAGCCTGGGTGGCAGAGCAAGACTCTGTCTCAAAAACAAAAAATGAGAGGAATTTCTGATCATATCCGATTTTCTCCTGTACTCAGATTCATTAACTAAAGGACCCTGGAAACAGCAGTATGCCTTTTACACAGAACTCTGCTGATGCAGATAAGCAGCATCTTAGAATTTGGTCACCAGCTCACTGAGGGCAGAGGCAGTGAGGCCAGCTAAACTGTAGGGTCTTGATGATTATTTTACTACATTTTTTGAACCTGTGCAAATAAGTTTACATTGCCACACAGTCCTGGTTATGCTGCTGGTAGTGTACTCTGAGTGTGACCCTTCTTTGTAGTCATGCTACGGGTAGGAGAGAGTGACTGAATGTTCATTAGGGTGGCGACATGTTTATACCTGTAATTTAATTTCCTGCCGTGTCTACCAGTGAATCCTACCTATAATAAATACAGTTAATTAAAGTTAATTTATGGCTTATTTGCCTTCAGATGATTTCATTATAATATTTCTGTTATGAAGTTTTTATTTTAGTTGTTTCTGTTTCTTTTCTCCCTTTTGATCCTTGAAGGTAGATTAAGTTAAAGCTTCAGAAAGAAATCTGCTAAGTGAAATGAGATAGTTGAGGAAAGAAAAGGTAAAGAAGCAGTGTGAACTCGGTAGCACAGCAGTCAAGTGAAGGAGGGCCCTGTGTTTCCTGGTGAGAGCTGCCGTTCCCTGACAGCAGCACATGGAGTTGGTGACCTCTACTCTGAGAAGCAGGAAGCACTCCCTCCTCACATGCTCATGGCTTGTGTTACCTTTTTGAGTTCTAATTACCTCTGCAAGAAAGGATTTTGTATGTAGCAAATTACTGGAAGTGTTCGGCAAAACTCCCTCATTTCAGTTTTGAGTGCATATTTTTCAAGTTAAACTTTTCTTTATAGATCTGAGAGAACATCATACATAGAAGGAAACAAACCATTAAGCAGAATACATCTCTGTGTGGTCATTGGCCAAATGGCCATAACTCTTTTCGGCAGGTATTCAGTGCCTTTATGGGGGCTGCTCTTCATGCCTCCATAGCATTTTCCTTTATGGAACAGTATGGTTTCTTTGGAACTTCCAAGGGTCTTATTCTCTTTAACTTCAATATGCAAAGTGTCTCAGATGCTGTTACGGGGTAAAATCAGCAACCAGAATTCCTCAGAAATTCTTAGGATATAGCTATTTTTTTTTGGGGGGGGAAGGGAAAGATTGTTTTAATTAGTTTTCTCTCCCTTCTTCATGGATTTTGAGTTTATTAATTTGTTTAAAAGAAAATGTTTTCATTGTGTCAGAAGGAAATAGTTATTCAAGCCTAGATTCTGGATAAACTATGGAGATTAGTTTTACTAGTGTTTATTTTTTTCTTGACTAGAGCTATAAATTAATTTTAACATACTTTAGTTAGATAGATCAAGGGTATTCAGTTGTCAGTGGTTATAAGAATGGATACAATCAAGGTCTCTTTGTTTTCTTTCAGGATGGAATCGTGGACTCTGTTGACAGTACGTTAAGAGATTTCTGTGGTCAGTGTATTCGAGAATTCCTTAAGTGGTCCATTAAACAAACAACACCACAGCAGCAGGAGAAGAGTCCAGTAAACACCAAATCACTTTTCAAGCGACTGTACAGCCTCGCACTTCACCCCAATGCTTTCAAGAGGCTGGGAGCATCACTTGCCTTTAATAATATCTATAGGGAATTCAGGTTTGTAAGCTACACAACAAGGAAGCCTCTCCAAGGTGCTCTTTAAACTTGTGGTTTTGAAAAGTGACTTAGAGTTTCACTCTGTGTATCTGTATATTCATATATCCTGCATTTAGTAAATAATTATGTGCTGGATGCTGTGCTGTCTTCTGGGAAATAAAAGAGTTAAAATTCAGTTTGTACTCAAGAAGCTTGGAAACTGCTGAGAAATGTTTATAAACACTATCTCAGCAATATTGGAAGTGTAACAAAAGACATATATACAAGGGCTTTGGGTGCACAGATGAGGAGCAGCTAATCCGAAGTGAGCAGGTTAGCTGAGGCCTCTTGCTAGGGTTTCTATTGGAGATGAGACTTGAAGGATGAATGGAAGTCGGCCAAGGCATTTTGGTGGTGGGTAGAGATAAGAAACAGGAAGGTGTCTGAGGCGATAAAGGCCTTTCAGGTTTGGAGGCAGGTCCCGTCAGGCTGATGAGGAGGGCTCTGCCTGCTGTAGTGAGGAGCGTAGGCCACATCTAGTGACAGGATCTGTGGAGTAGTGGGTGCAGGGAGAGGTGCATTCAGATTTCCTTCTAAAATTCACTTGCTGGTAGCTGCGTGGAGAGTGAGTCTGAGTAGACTGAAGACTGGGACACCATTTCAGAGGTGAAGAAAAGAGGCCATTTCAGAGGTCCATGAAAAAAGACCAGTGGTCACTGACCTAAGGTAGTGGTGTTCATTCACTGATTCAGCATTCCTCATTAGAAATATGTGGCACATTTACCTGTGTAAGAAACCTCATATCCTGCACATGTACCCGTGAACTTAAAAGTTGGAAAGGAAAGAAAAAAAAAAGAATATGATGTGCCTGGCACGGAGCCCATGTTGGAGGCATAATGATACAGCCCTTTATGTGGGTTACATTTCAGAAGGACACATAGATAATAATCACATAGATAAGTGAGCATGTATGCAGACTCAAGGGACGGAGTCACTTGTGTATGGAAGCAGAGTGAGTGCTGCCCCTGATTCATGTAGCCTTTTTCTACTCTGTCATTGAAGAAGTATCTTTGAGGTATTTTTAGGTTGTTTAATGTTTTGTTTTGTGGGGTTGTTTTTTGAGAAAGAATCTCCCTCTGTCACCCAGACTGGAGTGCAATGGCATGATCTTGGCTCACTGCAACCTCGGCCTCCTGGGTTCAAGCAACTCTGTCTGCCTCAGCCTCCTGAGTAGCTGTAGGACTACAGGAGCCCACCACTGCACCCGGCTAATTTTTGTATTTTTAGTAGAGATGGGGTTTCACCATGTTAGGCTGGTCTTGAACTCCTGACCTTATGATCCGCCCACCTCAGCCTGTTGCTCAGACAAAAGTGCAGTGGCACCATCATGGCTCACTGTAGCCTCAACCTTCTGAGCTCAAGTGGTCCTCCTGCCTCAGCCTCCCATGTCACAGGTGTGCATCATCTCACTTAGCTAATTTTTAATTTTTTAAATTTTTGTAGAGACAAGGTGTCATTTTGTTGCCCAGGCTATTCTCAAACTCCTGGGCTCAAGTGATCCTTGTAGGCATGAGCTACCACACCCAGCTGAGCCTTTAAAAAAAAAACAAACATTTAATTAATGTGTATCTTCTTTAATTCCATTCCTTCTTTTCTTTGTCCTTCCTGCTTTATTGTTTTCTGAGGTCAGTTTTCCTCTTCCTTATTTTGCAGGGAAGAAGAGTCTCTGGTGGAACAGTTTGTGTTCGAAGCCTTGGTGATATACATGGAAAGTCTGGCCTTAGCACATGCAGACGAGAAGTGCTTAGGTATGTTTTGCCCCAGTGGTCTGTCTGCCTTACGGGTCTGAAGAGTTTCCCGAGTCAGGAGTTAAGACTTGTGTGATTCTCTCATAAGTTTTTTTTTTTTTTTTTCAAGTGTTCCATAAATCAATAAATGTGAAGGGAAGATAAACCCCTCCAGTGCCTCAAATCCAGCTTGTTAATGGTTTTTTTGCACCTTCATTCTCTTTGACTCACCATATATACTCCTGGTGGCCATTGAGCTTGACCCTGGTTGGTTGCAGATCCTGCTGAGGGCAGTGGGGACAATGAAGCCAGTCAGACACTGTGATGCTGTGATGACAGAACATGAAAATGTGTAGATGTGGTGCTGAAGAAGCTGGTATCACTGAGATGTAGTCAGTATCCCTGCAGTCAATCATGGTTTACTTAGAAATTGGGTCTCATTGCAGGACGGTGATAAAGCGATTTCATCCATGATGAAGGAATATTATAAAGATAATTAAGTCAGAAGTAGGCAAAGGTAGCTAAGAGTGAGTAATAAGTGATTATAATTAAATTCTATGCGAGAAGCTGTTAGGAACTGCCTAGAGTTGTTGAGCTAGAAGACTTCTTAACTTCCTGTCGGTACCAGCACATGATGTAGTTGGGGCACAGAGGCCAGGCATGTCAGTGACTGAAAGGGCCACATAGCTGTGGCAGGACTCTGTCACTGATACAGGTCTTGACTTTGTTTATTTTATTTTACTTATTTATTTTTGAGACAGAGTTTTGCTCTAGTTCCTCAGGCTGGAGTGCATTGGTGCAATCTTGGCTCACTGCAACCTCCGCCTACTGGGTTTAAGCGATTATCCTGTCTCATCCTTCCTATTAGTTGGGATTATAGATGCCCACCACCACGCCCAACTACGTTTTTGTATTTCTAATAGAGACGGGGCTTCACTATGTTGGCCATGCTGGTCTTGAACTCCTGACCTTACGATCTTTCCACCCTCGCCTCCCAAAGTGCTGGGATTACAGGCGTGAGCCACCAGGCCCGACCCTAGGTGAATTGTTTCATCAAGTGAAACTTTACTCTTTGTGTCATCACTGACATGTTTAAAAAAACATAGAAAACTTTTTCCTAGTGACACAGTTCAAAATAAGATGTATAAGCCTTCTTTCCTAAATAATTCCAGACTTCTGTTTGTGACTTCACCATCTTACATCTGTGTCGTTTTACAGAGGTTGTATTACCAAATTATACCATAGTTTATTCTGCATAGGAAGGGAGGTCAGGAGACTTAACACTCACTGCTTTAAAGTAACTGCATATCGAAGTCCACAGGTTCTGGCCTGGTATGTGGGTTTTGTAATACCTGCAAGTTCTTTCCCATCTCAGGTCCATTAGGAGAGGCTGTGCTTTGGGTGACTGAGATGTTGGTGGTACAGTTTTTAGTTAGGCGTGGCATTGCGTCATGTGTGTGCCTGTGCCTGTGTGTGTGTGCATGTACCATGCTATCCTGCAGTCTTAAATATGAGTTTGTGTTCAGTTTTGAATATGCAGTATAAATCATTTATCTAAATTTTTTATTCTTAGGGATGAAAACATTAAATCTATAGTAAAATTACCTTTTAAATTAAAAATGAGGCTAACAAATTTGTAAAAAGTAATCAGCTATATATACCTTCTTTGGAAATATATCTTTGTACAATTGAACAGGTACAATTCAACAGTGTTGTGATGCCATTGATCACCTATGCCGCATCATTGAAAAGAAGCATGTTTCTTTAAACAAAGCAAAAAAACGACGTTTGCCTCGGTAGGTGATCTTGCTTCCTTTTCCGTTTTTCCCCCCAACATAAAAGTAATTCTCAGCTAATAAAGGACAACCTGGAATGAATGTGTGGAAGCATAAGTAATTAGTCTAAACAAGGAATGTGGAAGTATGAAGAGTGCATTTTCCAAAAAAGTTAAAAAGCTTTATGTTTGAAAATACTTGGTTTACAGGATAAGGTATACGGTATTTGATCTGGATTGAGATAGTAGATACAAATTGAAAATTAGTTGTGTAACTGAGTTGTTTCATTTAATGTGCACTGATTTCGAATATGATTTTATGTGGATGATTTGACTAGAGTATGCATGAACCATTATTGAGTAAATTTTGAAGTATATGAACTGAATATTCAAGTAGTAATGTTTTGACAGACATGAAATTATAAAATTAGGAAGTAAAACTGCTTAGAGCCAAGGCTTGGGTGTTGGCCAGTAGTTTCCAGTTTTTGCCCTTATTCCATCCCAGTGGTGTTGCTTTCTCCAGTAGGGTGAGTGCTCTCCATCAGCCCCTTCAGATCTCTGCAGGGTGTCTGGGGATGTCTTTGTCCGTGCTAGTGCCACCACTCTGGAGAAGCACAGTCCCATGTAGACTGGTTGTTCATATTTTCTCTGTTGTTTTAAAGTTGATTTTTCCAGATTCTGTTAACTTACAATATCACTTTAGTTCATTGGTTGTAACCTTAGCATGCATTAGAATTGCCTGGAGATCTAGTTAAATCACAGATTGCTGGTTTGGCCCCACCCTCAATTTCTGTGTACATCTCGGGTAGGGCCAGATAACTTATAACAAGTGCAGAGGCAATGGTGGAACATCTGTCCAGGGACCACACTTTGAGAAGCACTGCTTTGCAAGGTACATTGCAAAGGAAACATGAAAATACTTAGTGCCATTCTTTTAGGAAGTGCTTTTTTTTTTTTTTTTTTGAGTTGGAGTCTCACCCTGTTACTCAAGCTGGAGTGGAGTGGCATGATCTCAGCCCACTGACACTTCTGCCTCCTAGGTTCAAGCAATTCTCCTACCTCAGCCTGCAGAGTAGCTGGGACTACAGGCATAATGCCATCATGCCCGGATAATTTTTGAATTTTTAGTAGAGACGGGGTTTCACCATATTGGCCAGGCTGGTCTTGAACTCCTGACCTTGTTGTGATCCACCCGCCTCAGCCTCCCAAAGTGCTAGGATCACAGGTGTGAGCCACTGTGCCTGGCCAAGAAGTGCTTTAAAATTTTTGGCCACATGAAAAAATGAACATGAGCAGCATTTAGGACCCATTTAACCTGTGTTATTTTGATTGTACTCTAATGATAATATATTAAAAATGAATTCAATGCCTTTTAGTGAGGTATCTGTGTGTGTGTGTGTGATAAACATGAGTTTATAAATTCTAGAGCCTTGATAACTGAATGTTGCATGTTGGAGAGGGACTAATAACAGTATGTTGTCTCTGTGCAGAGGTTTTCCACCATCAGCATCATTGTGTTTATTGGATCTGGTCAAGTGGCTTTTAGCTCATTGTGGGAGGCCCCAGACAGAATGTCGACACAAATCCATTGAACTCTTTTATAAATTCGTTCCTTTATTGCCAGGTATGGTGATCTGTATATTTTTTATTTCCCTACAGTTGGCTTTATTATCCCATTTAAAAGAAGTAAAGACGAGTTGAGTAATTGGGTGATCATTGCAGTTAACATGATAGTCAGTTAAGATTCAGAATATTAACAGTTGAGATAATACAGTTCTATTTCACTGTGTCGTTAAAAAGAAATTGCCAGCATCTTAAGTCTGAATGATCTCAAATCATTATGATGTTAAAGGAAAGCAGTGAACCTGTGCTTTTCAGTAATTACTAAAGCATTAAACTGCTTATGAAATGAAATAATTATGAGTTTCTTAGAAATGAATGTATTGTTCAATTTAGTCCATTAAGTCCAAACCCAGGTTTGTTAGTTTGGGGGTGGGGAAGCTGTGCTCGAGACAGAACAGGCCCTGACTTCCCCCACTGTGTGCTGTGTGGCAGTCCACAGCCCCATGCAGTGCTTGGAGTGCATCAGGCTAGATGGGTGCACTGGCTCCTTGGGAAAAGTTGGGTTGGAGTTCTGTCTGGGCTTTTTCTTCACGGAACAAGAGGGAGAAAGTTACTTTATATATTTCCGTGCTTCTAAAACTTAGAAGGACTCTGAATTTTGTTATAGGGCATATGATAATATTATATACTATAGAATATATATAAATACATACCATAATTGAATTTAATTATTTGATACATGCTATATGAATAATGTAGTGTAAATTTACTGTACTGTGTTATTTTACATATATAATAGAAATAGATATCTATATTTTAATCTAGATAGTTGTTTAAAAAACAGCATTTAAAAATTTATTATTATTATTATTATTATTATTATTATTTTTTTTTTTTGAGACGGAGTTTTGCTCTTGTTACCCAGGCTGGAGTGCAATGGCGCGATCTCGGCTCACCGCAACCTCCGCCTCCTGGGTTCAGGCAATTCTCCTGCCTCAGCCTCCCGAGTAGCTGGGATTACAGGCACGTGCCACCATGCCCAGCTAATGTTTTTGTATTTTTATTAGAGACGGGGTTTCACCATGTTGACCAGGATGGTCTCGATCTCTTGACCTCGTGATCCACCCGCCTCGGCCTCCCAAAGTGCTGGGATTACAGGCGTGAGCCACCGCGCCCGGCTTATTATTTTTTTTACTGAGATGGAGTCTTGCTCTGTCACCCAGGCTGGAGTGCAATGGCATGATCCCAGCTCACTGCAACCTCTGCCTCCCAGGTTCAAGCAATTCTCCTGCCTCAGCCTCTGGAGTAGCTGGAAGTATAGGAGCATGCTACCACACCCAGCTAATTTTTGTATTTTTAGTAGAGATGGGGTTTCACCATGTTGGCCAGGCTGGTCTCGAAGTTATAACCTCGTGATCTGCCCACCTTGGCCTCCCAAAGTGCTGGGGTGACAGGTGTGAGCTACAACGCCTGGCCTAGCATTTTAAATTTGCTTAATGTGTTTAGCTAATAATTTTTTTTTTTTTTTGAGACAGAGTCTCACTCTGTCACCCAGGCTGGAGTGCAGTGACGCAATCTTGGCTCACTGCAACCTCTGCCTCCCGGGTTCAAGCAATTCTCTGCCTCAGCCTCCCGAGTAGCTGGGATTACAGGCCCCGCCACCATGCCTGGCTAGTTTTTTATTTTTAGTGGAGGCGGGGTTTCACCATCTGGGCCAGGCTGGTCTTGAACTTCTGATCTCAGGACCACTTGCTTTGGCCTCCCAAAGTGTGGAATTACAGGCATGAGACACTGCACCTGGCCCACAATGTTTTTTTAATATGTTAAGTCATTCTCACAGTAACCCTGTGAAATTAGTCATTCAAAAGTGGACCAGTAGCTATGGAAGGGGTGGAGGACAGTGGGTGGCATTTTTTCCTTTTATTTAGTCGAAACTGAGACCCTGATATTATGTTGGTAGAGTTACTTATCAGCAGACCACTGTCTCACATTGAGTCTGTGACTGATAGCACACAAGATTTCTTGTGGTGTCAGCTGTACTAATCTCAGGCATTTCTAGTGCTATTCTCTTCTTTTTTTTTTTTTTTTTTGAGACGGAGTTTTGCTCTTGTTACCCAGACTGGAGTGCAATGGCGCGATCTCGGCTCACCGCAACCTCCGCCTCCTGGGTTCAAGCAATTCTCCTGCCTCAGCCTCCTGAGTAGCTGGGATTACAGGCACGCACCATCATGCCCGGCTAATTTTTGTATTTTTAGTAGAGACGAGGTTTCACCTTGTTGACCAGGATGGTCTCGATCTCTTGACCTCGTGATCCACCCGCCTCGGCCTCCCAAAGTGCTGGGATTACAGGCTTGAGCCACCGCGCCCGGCCGCTATTCTCTTCTTAGTTGCCTATGGTATGGACCTCATGTATTCTGAACTAAATAGACATCCATTTCTCGGAATTGTTTTGTTGGACAAAGGCTGCTAGGTAGTAGGTGAGCCTTGGTGCTTTTCCCAACATGTAATTTATATAACGTTAAGGAGCCTTCCTTGATTTATCTCTTCTGTGGCCTTCCAGTGTGTAGCCTCCTTTTTCCTTTGGTATCTGAACCCCCTAGTGGGTAATTTTGTTTTCTTTTTTTCCTTTTCAGTTTTAGAGACAAAATCTCACTATATTGTCCAGGTTGGACACAAACTCCTTGGCTCATGTGGTCCTCCTGCCTCAACCTCCTTAATAGCTGGGACTGCAGGTGTGCAGCATCTGTTTATTTTTTTTATTTTTATTTTTTTTGAGACGGAGTTTCACTCTTGTTACCCAGACTGGAGTGCAATGGCGCGATCTCGGCTCACCGCAACCTCCGCCTCCTGGGTTCAGGCAATTCTCCTGCCTCAGCCTCCTGAGAAGCTGGGATTACAGGCACGCGCCACCATGCCCAGCTAATTTTTTGTATTTTTAGTAGAGACGGGGTTTCACCATGTTGACCAGGATGGTCTTGATCTCTTGACCTCGTGATCCACCTGCCTTGGCCTCCCAAAGTGCTGGGATTACAGGTGTGAGCGACCGCACCCGGCTAGCACCTGTTTATTTTTAAGAAACAAGGTCTCACTTGTTGCCCGGGCTAGCTTGTAGTGACATGATTATAGTTCACTGCAGCCATAAACTAAGCTCAAGTGATCCTCCTGCCTCAGCCTCCTGAATAGCTGGAAACACAGGCGTATGCCACCAGGTCTGGCTAATTTTTAAATTTTTTTGTAGAGACAGTGTCTTGCTATTAATATGTTGCACAGGCTAGTCTTGAATCCTGGCTTCAAGCAGTCCTCATGCCTTGGCTTTCCAAAGTGCTGGGATTACAGTACGAGCCATGGCATCCATGTTCCTTCAGTGGTATTTAAGTGACTGTGTCAGGTGTCTCTTTAGGTCACTGTGTAGTGGCAGTGTTGGGTACATGAACACCCAGATCACAGTAGTACTTGATAACAGGCGCAGGATTGTCCCTCTGACATGTGTCCAAGAGAGGCATCTCCTGACGGCTTCTGAATACTGAGACTCAGTGTGGCCCAAGCCCAGAAACAGACAGCAGGTCTTCAGTGGAGACAAGGGAAGAAGCAAGGCTGGGCAGGCTCCCCGACCCCATGCATGCTTGTCTACATTTCAGCTTCTCTCTCTTCTTGTGTTGTTCCCTTGTCTGCTCTCTCTCCATCTGCCTTTTTATCATTTTTCTTCTGTCACTCTTGATGTAGAATTTAAATATCTTACTATTTGTAATTTTGCTCATCATTATAGATTTGTCTCTTAGTGGAAGTAACAGAATACTTCCTCCTCTTAATATATAAAATGTTCTCTCATTTTTTTTTTTTTTTTTTTTGAGATGGAGTCTTGCTCTGTAGTCCAGGATGGAGTGCAATGGTGTGATCTTGTCTCATTGCAGGCTCCCCCTGGTTTACACAATTCTCCTGCCTCAGCCTCCTGAGTAGCTGGGACCACAGGCGTGTACCACCGCGCCTGGCTGATTTTTGTATTTTTAGTAGAGATGGGGTTTCACCATGTTGGTCAGGCTGGTCTTGAACCCCTGACCTCAAGTGATCCGCCCATCTCGGCCTCCACTGAGCCACCGTCCCCGGCTGAGTGTTCTCTTCTTAATATATCAGAGATACCTGTTTTGAATTCTTCATTAGAGTCAGAATGCTTTGATCTTTTCAGTGCTACTGATTTCAGAGCATACAAAATGTAATTTTATTTATTTGTTTTTTGATTTAGAGGAAGTTTAATATTTAAAAGAAAATTTCCTGGAAAAACCAGATCATTTGATTCTCTTATTTAACAAATGCTGCATTTACTGTGTGGTAGATGTTATTCTAAGCACATGTTCAAATGTTAACTACTTTAATTCATCTGATCTTTGTAACAGCCCAAGAGGTGGATATTATTGTTGTTATTTGCACAAGTTGTTTTGTTTCTTAAAGAAATAATTTTTAAATAAAAAGACAGGGGAAAGAGTATTAGTATGCTGCTATTCCAAATTGTGTCAACTGTTTTTATAATGTTTAAGGAACCTGAAGAGAATGGCTGTGGTGGAAATACCTTCTTGGAAGTAATTACAGTGAGACAAGTTGAATCCATAATAAAATGAAACAAGATTGTCCCACATTATTTTGAAAATTTAGGTACAAAGATTAGACTAAAGAAATGGAGGTATGTGGGAGTTATTTATGTGTCTGTATTTTAATCTTGTTTCTTTGTCTTGCTTGTAGGCAATAGATCCCCTAATTTATGGCTGAAAGATGTTCTCAAGGAAGAAGGTGCCTCTTTTCTCATCAACATCTTTGAGGGGGGCGGCTGTTGCCAGCCCTCAGGGATCCTGGCTCAGCCCACCCTCCTGCACCTGCGGGGGCCATTCAGCCTTAGGGCCACGCTTTGCTGGCTGGACCTGCTCCTGGCTGCACTGGAATGCTACAACACGTTCATCGGGGAGAGAACTGTGGGGGCGCTCCAGGTCCTAGGTAGGTTGCCCTTGCCTCATGCTTGTGTGTGTGGTGCTGCCAGGGTCACCCTGGGCAGCAGCTCTGTCAGGTCAGAATCCCAGTGACATGATGACAGGTTCTGTGTGGCTGCCTTGCCTGCTCTTTCATGTCACCTCACCGTGAGGGTTCCTTCCTTCACACTTCAAAGTTGACAAATACAGTTTTTCTCATAGCTTTATATACGTGAAAAAGTTATACTTTTTGGTGTGTTGTAAATGTTGACATTTTAAATATACAAAACTTAATTTTACTTGAAAAAATATGTTCTTTGGACAATAAATACTGTAGCAGTTTTATATTCAACATCATTGGCTTGAAAATATAGCTGCTTTATTGGAAATTATGTAGAGTACCTGAATTCATATTTTCATTCCATACCCTTCAAATGATTTTATCCTAAAGTATTAAATTTTATGCTTAAGATTTTACTATATCCCTATCTATGTCTTTTTAATGAAAGGGTATACATATTTAAAGATTGCTTGGCCGGGCGCAGTGGCTCACGCCTATAATCCCAGCACTTTAGGAAGCTGAGTCAGGAGGATCACTTGAGCCCGGGAGTTTGAGACCAGCCTAGGCAACATGGCAAGACACTATCTCTGCAAAAAGTACAAAAGTTAGCCGGTTTTGGTGATGTATACTTGTGGTCCCAGCTACTAGGGAGTCTGAGGCGGAAGGATTGCTTGAGCCTGGAAGGTTGAGGTTACACTGAGCTGTGATTGTGCCTCTGCACTCCAGCCTGGCCGACAGAGTGAGACCTATCTCAAAAAATTTTTTTGGCCAGGCGTGGTGGCTCATGCCTGTAATCCAAGCACTTCAGAGGCCAAGGCAGGCGGAGCACCTGAGGTTGGGAGTTCAAGACCAGCCTGACCAACATGGTGAAACCCTGTCTTAGAAAAAAAAAATAAAAATAAAATTTTTTTTTCTTCTGTTATTATTACATTTGTTATTAGTGCACATTACATTTTTTACTTCCAGAATAACATAAATATAGCAGTTTTAATAGTTATTACATATAAAATATAAAATTATGTGGTTGGAATTCTACTTTTATTTGTATAGATTTTCATATTAAAAAATACTGTTCATGGTCAGACATGGTGGCTCTTGCCTGCAATCCCTGCAGTTTGGGAGGCCGAGGTGGGAGCATCACCTGAGATCAGAAGTTTGAAACTAGCCTGGCCAACAAGACAAAACCTCGTCTCTGCTAAAAATACAAAAATTAGGCATGGTGACAGGTGCTAGGTACAGTGGCAGGTGCCTGTATTCCCAGCTACTTGGGAGGGTGAGGCACGAGAATTGTTTGAATCTAGGAGGCGGAGGTTGTGGTGAGCCAAGATCAAACCAGTGCACTCCAGCTGGAGTGACAGAGTGAGACTTCGTCTGAAAAAAAAAAAAAAAAACTTGTTCGCATAAATAAATGCCATATTTGATTTATTCTAAAATACACATTGTCCCACATTTAACAGATCTGTGGTTGCAGTGTGTCTTACAATCCAATATTCTGTTGGATTCAAGGATATTTGGTTTTTGAGAATATGTTTTTTTAAAATTATACTTCCTCGGGTACATGTGCAGAACATGCAGTTTGTTACATAGGTATACACGTGCCGTGGTGGTTTGCTGCATCTCTCACTCCTACATCTACATTAGGTATTTCTCCTAATGCTATCCCTCCGCTAGCCCCCCACCCTTCGACAGGCCCTGGTGTGTGATATTTCTTAATATGTTCTCTCAATTCTTGGAATACATCAAAATACATGTTATCAAAATTATTTTTAATGCTTTCAGTTGACAATTTGATTGATTTTCCTTAAATTATATTGGAAACAAAGAATTAGAAATGGTGAGACTTAAAAAAAGGCTTTCCTACCCAATCATTGCCTTTACTCACTCTTTCAACAGTACAAAATTATTTTAAATTGTCCCTCAGGGCTCTGAAGGGCTGTGGACCTTGGAGTAATAGACGATAGTTAAAGTGGAGAGACGTGAGGGTGGATCTGTCTTTGGTTAAGCAGGAGAGTCCTGATGAACAGGCTGAGATGGGAGAGGAGAACCAGCTCCAGGGTGTTTTCAGACAAACGAGTTTTATGAAAAAGCCCATTGGAGAATTGATCTGAAAGCTGATTTGGTATGATGACTGGTGCCTGTCCACACCTGCTTGAAGACTGCTCCGTAATTTGTTCCTGTCCTTTGAAGGACAATTAAGATTTTTAATTTTTTTATTATTAAAAATAATGCTAAAAGGAACATTCTTAGAAATGATTATCTCTGCAATTCTGTAGTCATTAAGTTAAATTTTCAGTGCTAGATAAAGCATAATGAGTTTTTAAACATTTGATAGAAATTGGCATGCATATTTTTAAAAACTTGGTATGAATTGCCAAAATGCCCTTTAAAATGATCATAATAATTTATCTTCTCACATGTAATGTTTGAGAATCAAGACCTGATCTTCCGTAAATGTGTCCTTACGGGATGAGTCTGTAGTTCAATTCTGTTTAGGTTGTGTTAATTTTGAAATGAGAAAAAATAACTGCCAACTTTATTCAGCTGTTATTAAGCTGTTTGTTTCTTTTGAAAAGTTGTGAATTTTTACTGAGTGAATATCCTACCTATACTTAGAGAACCAATTTTATATTAATCTTAGTGGAGTTGAAAGGAAGCATAAATTAATGTTTTCATATAATTGCTTCTAGGTATTGAAGCACAGTCTTCACTTTTGAAAGCAGTGGCTTTCTTTTTAGAAAGTATTGCTATGCATGACGTTATAGCAGCAGAAAAGTGCTTTGGCGCTGGGGCAGCAGGTACCACACCAGGCCCACAAGAGGCAGAAAGGTACAACTATAGCAAATGCACCGTTGTCGTTCGGATTATGGAGTTCACCACAACTCTCCTGAACACCTCCCCCGAAGGATGGAAGGTAGGCTGTCCTGCTGCTCTGTTAATTTGAGCTCAATATTTGGTACCGGGAAAATACTTCAAAGGTTCCTGTTAGAAGGCGTTTTGACTTTTTAGAAAAAATCATTATTCTATTTCATCCTTTCAATCCAGCTTTTCCTGACTCCAGGAAGAAACAGGAAGAGAAGCCCCGGTTTTGGCTTTTCTAAAACTTTTCATTGTCAGAAGAGTTATCTGTCAAAATAAATTTGTCAATTTATTTTAGTTGTCAAAAAATGTATTTAGGGTATACAGCATGATGTTTTGATATGGTTTGCCTTGTGGAATTGCTGAATTAAGCTAATTAATGTATCTGTTACCTCACATACGTAACATTTTTTTGTGATGAGAACATTTAAAATCTATTTTCTTAGCAGTTTTCAAAATTACAATGCATTGTTATTAACTAAGGTCATGATGATGAACAATCTACTCTTGAAACATGAAACTTTGCATGTCCTTCAGAGTTTCATTGTGTAAATAAAATACAATATAGTTTTTTCTAATTGTTTTATTGGATGCTGTATTTTTGTACTATGATCAGACATCTACCTTAGGAAACACACATTAGCAAATATTTATACATGTATCCGTGAGCTTTATTGTGTAAGCAAACTCCAGTCAGTTCATCCATGAATCTCTACCATGTGCCTGTGGCATACCAGGCCCTGGGATGCAGCAGTCCCCTAAGTCACAGGTTGGGAAACTGTGTCCATTGGCACTACCTCACCTTTTGCCTGCTCTGCAAATATAGGAGCATGGTCATGCGCCTCTGTCCACCTGTTGTCCGTGCTGCTTTCTTATGCATAAGGAGTTGCAGCAGAGACGACCTAGCCCGCAAACCTCAAGTGTTTACTCTGCCCCTATTTTACAGAGAAACTCTGCCCACTCTTTCCCTAGTCAGGCAGAAATTCCCAACTTCATGGGCCCTGCACTCTGGTGAAAATAGAAATGCTGGCTGATGAAGTATGTTTATCAAACCATCTGTTATAGCTCCTGAAGAAGGACTTGTGTAACACACACCTGATGAGAGTCCTGGTGCAGACGCTGTGTGAGCCTGTGAGCGTAGGATTCAACATCGGAGACGTCCAGGTTATGGATCATCTTCCTGATGTTTGTGTGAACCTAATGAAAGCGCTAAAGATGTCGCCATACGAAGATATCCTAGAGACCCACCTGAGAGAGAAAATAACAGCACAGAGGTGGGCACTTGGGTCACATTCAGGGATGTGTTGTCTTGGAATTTCAGGTCTTAGTATGTTCCCGTGTAAGTGCAGCTGCTCCTGCTTCCTCAGGTAAGGCTCATATCAGTGGGATGTTTGCTGCCAGTGACCTCAGCAGTTGTTTAGAAATTACATTTAACCAGTGCCTTCCCTGCACCAAGCTTCAGCAAACTTCAGACGCGGCTAGCACCATGTTTGATCTCCACACTAGCTTAGGGTGTGTGGATTATATTAGGTGTTGCCTCTGTTTGCTTTCATAACAGTGCAAACATTTTTCTCAGAGTATCTTGATAATTTAACGAGATCAGAGCTCACCTAGTTTACTGTTTTTCTCGAATGGCCAGGATTGAGGAGCTTTGTGCCGTCAACTTGTATGGCCCTGATGCACAAGTGCACAGGAGCAGGCTGGCTGCTGCTGTGTCTGCCTGCAAGCAGCTTCACAGAGCTGGGCTTCTGCATGGTATATTACCATCTCAGGTAATTATAACCTATTTGTTTTTACATGTCTTTGAGCTTTAGTATGATAATTAGTGTATTTATTTATATTCTTAGTTAAATATCCTTTATGTATTGAGCATGAGAGTTACAGAAATACTTGCTCTAGGATCAGTATAAATAAGAAAACAAATGTAAAAATTTATAAACGTAAATGAAAGCAAAATAAAGGACATTTGAATACTTCCAGGGCAGCTTTCTGAAAAATTTTAAGAACTGCTGTTGTGCCTTTGTGGCAAGACAACACAAATGAAGAATCTAGCATAGAAAGCAAGGTTGAGCCAGATGTAGTGGCTCATACCTGTAATCCCAGCACTTGGGGAGGCTCAGATGGGAGGATCGCTTGAGGCCAGAAGTTTGAGACCAGCCTGGGCAACATGGCAAGAATTCATTTCTACACAAAATTAAATTAAAAACCAAAAAACCTCACAAAATCCAGGAATCGGTGGACCTCTAGTCCCAGCTACTCAGGAAGCTGAGGTGGAAGCTTGAGGCTGCAGTGAGCCATGATTGTGCCACTGTACTCCAGCCTGGGCAATAGAGTGAGACCCTATCTCAAAACAGCAAGAACAACAAAAACAAAGTTGAATTAAAATTTTTCTGAATATTGGAAGGTAATTGTCAGTGCTATCTACAGTGGGATTTTTATTTAATGAGGAGTGAAATTGTTTTTTTTTCTATGAAATATCTTTTTGCTAGGCATTTCAGTGTTGGCTTTGTTTTAGTCCACAGATCTGCATCATTCCCTTGGCATAGAACTTCTTACCCTGGTTTATAAAAGCATTGCTCCTGGAGATGAGAGACAGTGTCTGCCTTCTCTAGACCCCAGTTGTAAGCAGCTGGCCACCGGACTTCTGGAGTTAGCCTTTGCTTTTGGAGGACTGGTAGGAAAGACCTCAGCATGCTGCATTCTCCTACTAATGGAAATACATATCTCACTTGCAGGTGTCGCTAGATACTGGCATTTGGGTAGTAAGGTCTTAGCTGGACAAGTACTGAATGATTAACATGAGCTGACTTTCTTTCTAAAAGATTATTTTTTCAGTAGTTTAAGAAAAAAAAACAACGGAATAGAACAACATTCTTTTAATATTGAAGTTTTGTCTCTCCTACTTTGTTTCCAAAAGGAATTAGCTAGAGAACGTTTTGTGACTATGAAACTGAGCTGTATTGACATGTGGCCTCTTCTCTCCTTGGTGGTCCTTCACATGGATGATTGGGACGGCCTCTGAAGGATAATCCCAGAGGCTCCAAAAAAAAAAATTCTCATGACTTCTTGGAACCATGCTGGGCTGGCCTTAAATAGTTACTGCTGTAGCTGAGATCTGCAGCTAGCCCTCTGTGTTCACTCCATCCCAACTTCTTTTCTTCTGTAGCAGAAACCCCCTTTTCACCCCTTTGTCCGGTTAATGTAGACAATTAACATATTTAAATTATCTAAAAATACTCACCCTTACTAGACTTTACCCTCAAAGCAACAGCACTGGGTGGGCATATGGCTTGATCCCAGGAGTTTCAGAATAGCCTGGGCAACATAGTGAGACTCTGTCTCTAAAAAAAATTTAGGTACGTGTGGTGGCATATGCTTGTAGTCCCAGCTACTCCGGAAGCTGAGGTAGAATATAGCTTGAGCCCAGGAAGTGAAGGCTGTAGTGAGTCATGATCATGCCTCTGCACTCCAGCCTGGGCAACAGAGTGAGACCCTGTTTTTGAAAAACGACAAGGCTGGGCATGGTGGCTGATGTCTGTAATCCTAGCACTTTGGGAGGCCAAGGCAGGCGGATTGCTTGAGGTCAGGAGTTTGAGACCAGCCTGAACAAAATGGTGAAATGCCATCTACTAAAAATAGAAAAATTAGCTGGGTGTGGTGGTATGCGCCTGTAATCCCAGCTACTTGGGAGGCTGAGGCAGGAGAATTGCTTGAACTCAGGAGGTAGAGGTTGCAGTGAGCCGAGATGGTGTCACGGCTCTCCAGCTGGGCAACGGAGCAAGACCCTGTCTCAAAAAAATAATATAAAAAACAACAAGATTTTTTGGGTTTTCGCAAGAAATATGGGTCAAGGAAGATTTCTTTCCCAAAATGAAACCTAGAAAATGGAGGCTAGTTGAAATATATACAATTTCAACTTGAATCCAGGCTTCACATATCAGGCTCTTTTTAGACTTTACTGCGTCATTTTCCAATTTCAAAGTTATCAGTTGCCCAAGGGTCTTTCTGTGCCATGCAAAGATGTGCCCCGGTTATGGTACCTCTCCTTTCTTCTTTCCAGTGTGAGCGCCTTGTGAGTCTTCTCCTGAACCCAGCACTGCTGTCCACACCATCCTTGAGCAGCTCACAGAGCAGCGTCATCCACTTCTCCCATGGGGAGTATTTCTATAGCTTGTTCTCAGAAACGATCAACACGGAATTGTTGAAAAATATGGATCTTGCTGTATTGGAGCTCATGCAGTCATCAATGGATAATCCCAAAATGGTAACAAAATTTTCCTTTAAGTAAATATTTTCTTTTCTTTTCTTTCTTTCTTTCTTTGTTTGAGACGGAGTCTTGCACTGCTGCCCGGGCTGGAGTGCAGTGATGCAATCTTCGCTGACTGCAACCGCCTCTGCCTCCTGGGTTGAAGTGATTCTCCTGCCTCAGTGTCCCAAGTAGCTGGGATTGATTGCAGGCACTCGCCAGCATGCTTGGTTAGTTTTTTATGTTTTTAGTAGAGATGGGGTTTCCCTATGTTGGCCATGCTGGTCTTAAACTCCTGTCCTCCTGATCTGCTCACCTTAGCCTCCCCAACTGCTGGGATTACACTTGTGAGCCACCGTGCCTGGCCAATATTTTCTTATGTAATGCTTATAAAAAGGTTGCTATATTCCTGAAATATTTCGTTAAAATATGACAAGATTCTTTTTCTAGAAGGTTAAAAGCTCTTTCTTTTAACAAACTCAAAAAAAAACCCCAAAACACACCTTTTATCAATAGTTAACGAATGTTAGGCCAGGCTTGATGGCTCACCCCTGTAATCTCAGCACTTTGGGAGGACAAGGTGGGCAGATCACCTGAGGTCAGGAATTCGAGACCAGCCTGGCCAACATGGTGAAACCTTGTCTCTATTAAAAATACAAAAAGTTAGCTGGGTATGTTGGTGCATGCCTGTAATCTCAGCTACTCAGCAGGCTGAGGCAGGAGAATTGCTTGAACCCAGGAGGCGGAGGTTGCAGTGAGCTGAGATCATGCCACTGCACTCCAGCCTGGGTGACATAGGGAGACTTTGTCTCATAAAATAAAATATAGTTAATGTTCTTATCAGATGCTGAAACATTTTTTGTGTTCTCTCATGCTTTGCAAATTTCTAAGCCTCAGTATTATGAAGCAGAGCTATGCACGATATAGATGTTTGCCAAAATGTGGCCTTGGAGCTTATAAACCCGTCCTGGGGCCCAGAGGTGGCTTTGTGTTCATACCAGCTGCAGGCGGGTCTCCGTGCCCCGTTAGACCTCTCTGCTCTCAGCTCTCTCATAGCCTTGATGCTGGGTTATCATTTTCTGCATGTCCCTGCTGTGTCTCCCTTCCCCCTCACATCAGCTTTCTGGAGATCAGTATTTAATATACCGTTGACTTTCATTTGCTGAACTTCTGGGATTTTGAAATCTAACCTGCTCTGTGGACAGAAACTGTTAACTGTTCGTATGTCCAGTTTAAGGGAGAGTACATGATTTCCTAAGTTGAGCTTTTATTGCAAACAGTGCTTGTCTGTTGTAGGGGAGTCTTTAGTGATAGATTGCTAGGAATTTGTATTTTTTTTTTAAAGTTAGAAATAAAATCATAGTAGATGACATTCAGATTTAACATTCTGATTTTGTAAACTGTAACCTCTGATGGAAATGATAGAAAAATTATAAACGTTTACCTCTATTCTTTTCCCAAATTTCTCTAAAGTAACAGAATGGGATTTAGAAAAGCACCACTATAATCTCAAAGGACATGGAGAAAAGGATTTCCAAGAGTGACAAGAGCTGTAAATCGAAAGGACAGGTGTGGCAGATTGCATGCAGAGTCTGAGATAGCTGTGGGGTGATACAGCCTTTGGAAGATGGGGTCTGCACTGGCTGAACCCCAGCAGGGCAGGCATGGGAGCAGGGGTGGGCAGGGGCTGAGAAGAGAGGATTGGGGGAAGGCCAGCTCTCCCTTGCAGGGCAGCCTCCTGCTGTTGGGATCCTCCCCAAATGAGGAGAAGGGGCAGGGGCAATGACTCTCTGGTAAGGATAGAGACCTCTAGACTGGAGGTTTCTGGCATGGCTGAATATACGGATCCCATCAGGAAAAGGGGGAAGTTAAGTGCACGCCTTCCTAAATTCTAGACTTTGAGGCTGTCTGCCCTTTCCCTCCAAATACTTTCAGTTCAGCATCAAGAATATCCTGACAAGCCCTAAGAGAAAATAAAGATGCAGGCATTATAGCCACCTGGGTCAGCGACAGTGATCCTCCCCACCAGTGAGCCTTGCACGCTGCACAGCGCTTCCAGCGGGGTCCTACCTGTGAGCCAGTAGACCAGCGGGCCAGGCACCTGAGGAAAGGAACGCGAGAGGGCGCAGCAGGACACAGGCAACTGTGGCAAGGCCTGTTCAGTGAGATGGAAGTGTTAGGCGGAGACAAAACTGAAAGACGAGACTGTACTGCACCTGTGAAATAAGAATTGCTATCAAGAATGAACGTCAGAACAGAAAAGTTCTCTTGGGAATTAAGCATAGGCATCAGAAATTAAAAATGAAATGGGTCGAGAGTGAAAAGACAAAAAAAAACACGAGAGAAATGAGGAGGAGACGGGTTTCATGCACAAGATGGAGCAGCAAGGCCTTGGCTCCAGAGAGCAGGGGCCAGGAGAGGCATTTGCTGAGGACACAGCTCCAGAGGAGCCCAGAAGCACAGGCCTTGAGTTTCCAGGGGGAAGAAGGCCATGAGGTGTCCAGCATGGTGCATAGAAATAGCTCAATGTGTGGAACACATTTCTTGAGAATTCAGAACCCTGGGGTTTTAGCACAAGAAAAAATTCTCAGGTTTACACTGGAGAAAAGGCAGTTATGTGTGAGGGATCTAGAAATTGAATGACCTGTGCCTTTTTAGCAGCAGTATGGACACTGCAAGACTTGAACCAAATTTCTTCCACAATTCATGAAATGAATCTCCAGCCTAGAGTTCTGAATCCAGCTGGATTATCTATTATGTCAGAGTCGAATGCAGATGTTTTAGACTGCTGGATCCCCAAGAGGTCCCTTCGTACTCTCATCAGGATGCTGCTGGGTGGAGAGTGATCAGGCAGTGAGCCAAGAGAGGGGAGGGTGCTGGATGCAGGACGTTGGCCCCGCACAGAGGCATGGATGGCCCAGCACCGACATTGCAGATCAGGAGCTGAGTCGCCACAGAGATGGGGCAGATAGACCTGATAGGCTTAGAGGGCTTTCAGCAGTTTCATAACTTGGGATGATGAATTAATGACAGACACACTGAAAACAATGAAAGCAAACAATTAACTTCAGGAAGTACAAAATGTGCAAAAAGGGAAGGCCATTGTTTCTGCTTGAAACATTGTGAAAAATGTTTATATAGTCAGAATGACAGGAATAGTGAATGTTAATGTGATCAAAATTAGCCTGTCACTCTGTCACAGGAGTGGTGGAGTGACGGAAATGTGTGTGTGTGTATGTGTGTGTGTGTGTGTGTGTGTGTGTATAATGGTAGTTGAACAGGAAGTGTGTGTTTGTGCGTGTGCTTGTTTGCTAGTATGTGTGCCTATATAGTGGTGGTGGGACTGGAAGTATGCACTTGTATCCATGTTTGCTTGTTTGTGTACACCAATGTGTGCTTATGCATGCATGTACAGTGGCGGTGGGACAGAAGTGTGCATATGTGCATATTTATGTGCTTGTGTGTGTATACTTGTGTGTGCTTATATGTGCATGTACAGTGCTCTTGGTGGTGACAGAAGAGAGCTGACCCCTTTTTCAAATGGAGTTCTGTCAAGACTCTCCAGCCTAGGAAAGCCAGGAGCAGCTGGATGAGCCTGATGACATAGCTAAGACCATCCTGTACTTTCTACGGAAAAACTATGGTTAAAGTGCACCTCAAATCAAACTTGAGCAGTTTTGAAGTAAACATCTATTAATAGAAATATCTTCTTTATTTTCCAAGAATAGCTTTGAAATGAAAGTAAATTTTGTTTTCTATCTGTCATTTTTAAAATTAAAAATTTTCCTTCACTCTCACCATCAAATTGTCTCAGGTGAGTGCCGTTTTGAACGGCATGCTAGACCAGAGCTTCAGGGAGCGAGCAAGCCAGAAACACCAAGGACTGAAACTTGCGACTGTAATTCTGCAGCACTGGAAGAAGTGTGATTCATGGTGGGCCAAGGATTCCCCTCTCGAAAGTAAAATGGCAGTGCTGACCTTACTGGCAAAAATTTTACAGGTATTTTGAGATTCCTTAAAAAGGCAGTTATGTTTGTTCTTCTGTAACTTTTGTCTTTAAAATTTGATGGAGGTTGCTCCAAAAGCTCATTGGTTTGACAAATAAGAAAATATTTTGACCGGATAGTTGTTTATGTATACCTTACTTTTTAAAGTTTTTCCAATATTATTTATTAGACTTATTGTTTCTTCTGCTTTATCTTTTTAAAGCACCTCTGCATGTATTGTCTTGAAAGTATTAAAATATTTTACAATAAGCTTGTGAAAATATTATTGAAGCCCAAAATTAAATTTATATTTCATTTCTAAAATTTAAACATTTGAGCAATGGGTTAAAGAAACAGAGACGTGATATACAAATGTGTCCTGTTTTTCTTTTCCCTCCTGTAGATTGATTCGTCTGTATCTTTTAATACAAGTCATGGTTCATTCCCTGAAGTCTTTACAACATATCTTAGTCTACTTGCTGACACAAAGCTGGATCTACATTTAAAGGTAAATAGTGAAATATTTATTTTTTTGGATTACATTCTCTTTCCTTTTTTTTTATTTTTGCATATTTGTGATGTTTTTTGTTTTTTTATTATGGAAAATTTCAAACATGTTGAAAAATAGACTAGCACAGTAATCCTCCTGTACTGATGAGCCCAGTCTCGATAACCAGCCTGTGTGGGCCTATTTGTTTCACCTGTGCAGTCACCCCACCCGTCAACTGGCCGGGAAGGCCAAGCGGGCGGGGCATGTTATCTGATCTGTACCTGCTTCAGTTCAGTGTGTCTTTCCAAGACAGAAGAACATTTCATTCATTCATTCTTTCTTTCTTTCTTTCTTTTTTTTTTTTTTTTGGAGACAAGAGTGTCACTCTGTTGCCCAGACTGAAGTGCAGTGGCACAATCCTGGTTCAGTGCAACCTGCACTTCCCGGGTTCAAGTGAGTCTCATGCCTCAGCCTCCCGAGTAGCTGGGATCACAGACATGTGCCACCAGGCCAGGCCAATTTTTGCATTTTTAGTGTATTTCACCCTAGTGGCCAGGCTGGTCTCAAACCTCAAGTGATCCACCTACCTCAGCCTCCCAAAGTGCTGCAATTACAGATGTGAGATGCGATGGCCCGAGAACAGTTCTTTTAAAATATAGGATTGTCATATTTGTATGAATTAAAATTTGTGTTTGCATACATACGATTTAAATTGGCTTTTTGGGATTGCGATAATGACTTTATTACTCATTTATTAAATACTATAAAACTTATTGGTGATTTTTAGGGTCAAGAATTAATAAATATTGTCATTTAAAGGTTACTAAATTTAAAGTCCTAGAGCAATTAGATTTTAAATCCTGTTGAAATGTGGCCTTAATGCAAGAGACCTTATTACTGGATAAAGGGGATAATTCTTTGGAATTTTCAACTGTGTGATTAATCAAGTTTCCCATTTCTCCATAGACAGTCTTGGAATTTATCTGCCATACAAGGGAGATAGGAATCAACTCCTAGTTAAGCTCAGTATGAAGTTCTCAGGTAGTTCTGCAGTGTGTAGTTGTCAACCACCCCATCTACACAAAGCTTGTCCAGTACATTTTTACTAGGGTCATTATTTGTAGAAGAGGAAGCACATACTGAATCAGTACCATGTCGTATCTATTTATGTGTCTATAGCCTGAGTCAACTGACTAGCCTGATTAAGAGTCAAAGCTGAGGTGTATAGGCTGGGTGCAGTGGCTCATGCTTGTAATCCCAGCACTTTGGGAGACTGAGGTAGGTGAATAGCCTGAGGTGAGGAGTTTGAGACCAGCCTGCCCAACATGGTGAAACCCCGTATCTACTAAAAATACAAAAAAAATTAGCCAGGCATGGTGGCAGGTGCCTGTAATCCCAGCTACTCTGAAAGCTGAGGCAGTGAGAATCACTTGAACCCAGGAGGTAGATGTTGCGGTGACCCTAGATCTTGCCACTGCACTCCAGCTTGGGCGACAGTGAGACTCCATCTCCAAAAAAAAATGATGAGGTATAGAATTGTGTTCAGGTTGGTTTTTAATATAGTTTAGAAATTATGCTGAAGTCATTCATTGATTCCAAATAGTGCTTTATTTGCAACATCTTTAGAAAACAGTAATTTTATTTATTCTGCAGGAGCTGTAAGCCACAAATAGTCCAGTTTCTTATGTTTGCCTTGCTCCACAGGGCCACGCTGTCACTCTTCTTCCGTTCTTCACCAGCCTCACTGGAGGTAGTCTGGAGGAACTTAGGCGTGTTCTGGAGCAGCTCATCGTTGCTCACTTCCCCATGCAGTCCAGGGAATTTCCCCCAGGAACTCCGCGGTACAATAATTACGTGGACTGCATGAAAAAGGTTAGTTTCTAGTAGTATCAAGTAAGATTAAAACACTGATTTTTTTTTTTTCTTGTTACACATCTTGATGAAAAGAAGTGTGTGGAATATACAGAATCAGAGAAGTGCTCTCACTTTTAAGAATTCATTTGATTCACTAGGAGAGCAGTGACAGGAATATATGTGAATCCACTGGAATTTTTTTTCTCCCATTTTTAAATTGAAATATTTTATGCATAAAATGGAATATATAAAGTATATATAAGTTATGAACATTGATAGCAAAAGCAGCTAAGAAATAGAATATTACCAATAATTTCCAGTTTCTAAAATTTAATAATGATTATTTGAGAAGCATTTCATGATTATCCCTGATACCATATGTTGAGCATTTTTTTGCTGAAATGCTTGGAGCCAGAAGCATTTCAGATTTTGGAATGTTTGTATATACATTATGACATATCTCTGGGTTAGGACACCAGTCCGGATATAGACATGAAATGCATTTGTGGGGTGTGTGTGTGTGTGTGTGTTTTGTTGTTGTTTGTTCATTTTGAGACGGAGTCTCGCTCTTTCACCAGGCTTGAGTGATGTGGCGCTCCCTTGGCTCACTACAACCTCTGACTCCCTGGTTCAAGCGATTCTTGTGCCTCAGCCTCCTGAGTAGCTGGGATAACAAGCATGCGCCACCACACCTAGCTAATTTTTTTGTATTTTTAATAGAGACGGGGTTTCATCATGTTGGCCAGGTTGGTTTCAATCTCCTGACCTTGTGATCCACCCACCTCGGCCTCCCAAAGTCCTGGGATTACAGGCATGAGCCACCATGCCCGGCCTTTTTTTGTTTTGTTTTGTTTTTGAGACAGAGTGTTTCTCTGTCACCCAGGCTTAAGTGCAGTGGAAACTGCACAGAATACTTTCAGAGATGAAAGAAGGTATTATGTCCATGAGATAGGATAAGGATCCTTGGAAATTAAATATGCAGAAGCAAAATTTAAATAAAAACATACCTGTTCTATACTGAAGGTAAAATAAAGGATATCTCCTAGAAAGTAGAACAGACAGTGAGACAGAGAAGGGGAGAGTTAGGATGAGAACATTGAGGGAGCGGCCTGGGTTGTTGCCTCTATAGCAAGAACCGTGTGGAAAAGATGCACATAACCAGAATCAGAGTAAGGGCAAGAGTCTCTGGCGTGGTGAAGGAGGGGGCCTGTGGAAGGCACATCACCGTGGCCTCTCAGAACCTGAGCTAGAGAGAAGAGTAATGTTTGCAAAACCTAAAAAGAATACAGGCCCAGTATATAATGAACACTGATATATACCAGCCACCCACAATATCTGTAAAAATGACAGGAATACTAGTATTTGTTAAGTATGTGAAATTCTGGTATTTTTTTTGTATGTTATATATTTTTACTATATAAGAAACTTTTTAGATGTTTACATTTTTTACTATCTAATTAAACTATTGAAGCAAAAGTAAAACCCAACAAAATTTTGATGATGTATTTCTTCCAGTTTCTAGATGCATTGGAATTATCTCAAAGTCCTATGTTGTTGGAATTGATGACAGAAGTTCTTTGTCGGGAACAGCATCATGTCATGGAAGAATTATTTCAATCCAGTTTCAAGAGGATTGCCAGAAGGTAACTCATTCTAGCCTGGGGTCCCGGAGCCATATGCATTTCATTTTTGTCAGAAATTATCTTCTCTGTTTCAAAAAAAGCTTAGCTGCAATTGCACTCTTGCCACTAAACTTTATTTGGTTTTTGTCTTTAAAACAAAACTTTTATTATAATAATTTTCAAACATATGCAGAGCTAGAGGAAGAGTATAAATAAGGCCCCATATTGAACAAAGTTCAACATTTTCCCAGGTTCATCTTGGCCTTTTGTTTTGTTTTGTTTTGTTTTGTTTGCTGCTATTACAATTTAAAGCAAATCTCTGATACCATGTTATTTCACCTCTAAATCCTTCTGTATATATCTCTAAAAAATGCAGTTTTCTTGAATAGCTACGGTACCATTATCAACTGAATAAAATTGTTTGTAATTCCATAGTCCGATTTCCTCAGTAGTCTCGAACATGCTCACAGTGTCGGGTTATTTGAAATTTGAACCAAACAAGGTTCATATATGGCATTTCACTGTTGTGTCTCTTCAGTCTGTCTTCACCTAGAACAGTCCCCTCCTTTATTAATATTTTGTTGTTGAAGAAACTTGGACACTTGTTGTGTACAATTTCTTATACTCTGGATTTATCTGACTCTTTTGTTTTCATTTAACTTCTTCCTCCAGCCCTTGGATTTCTGTAAATGGAAAGTTATATCTAAAAGCACAGTTAGATTCAGGTTGAAATTTTGGCCAGACTATTTAATAGTTGATGCCTTATACTTATTCATGGCATTAGGAGGTGCATAATGTCTGGTTGTCCTGCTTTTAGTGATGCTAGGCTTGACCAGCCATGTGCATCATTGTATTTCCCTCATGATTTAGCTCCATGTATGATAGTTGCCCTGAGTGGGCAACTTATTTGAATCACTTATTTCATTAAGAGTTACAAATGGCCATTTTTCTGATCCTTTTATTTCTCCTAAATTTAGTGTTTGGAATTGCAGTGTAATGAAGGTCTCATCACTAGGATTTTTTGGTTACCAAAAATGCGATTTAATATTTTCATAAAAATACAGTGGGAAAGATAGGTCATATTTGATCATTGATTTTTTTTTTTTATTGAGATGGAGTCTGTCACCTAGGCTGGAGTGTGGTGGCATGATCTCTGATGACTGTAGCCTCTATCTTCTGGGTTCAAGTGATTCTCCTGCCTTAGCCTTCCAAGTGGCTGTAGTGAAGTGGGTGAAGTTTATGATCTGTGTAATATATAAGGCTGGGATTACAGGCATGTGCCATCACACCGGTCAAATTTTTGTATTTTTAGTAGAGACAGGATCTTACCATATTGGCCAGGCAGGTCTTGAACTCCTGACCTCAAATAATCTGTCTGCCTCAGTCTCCCAAAGTGCTGGGATTACAGGCATGAGCCACCGCACCTGGCAATGATTATTGATTTTTGAAATAAGGGTTTGATACCATGGCTACTTCTTATAGTAAACTTCCAATGAATTTTTTAAATTGGCATTTATCTATATTGAATTTATAAATATCCATTAAATTTGTCTTGAGTTCTATTTTACAGATCATAAACTGCACCTATTGTAAGTATATAGTTCCATGATTTTTAGGAACTTTATTGAGTATACAGCCAGTGCCATACGACATTTTTGTTCTCTGGTAAGACCCCACAGGACCATTTACAACTGTCTCCCATTGCTCATTTCAGCTCCAGGCACACACTAATCTGCTTTCTGTCTTTATATATAACCTGCCTTTTCTGGACATTTTATATAAGTGGAATCATATAATATGTGATCTCTTACTCCTGGCTTCTTTGTTCAGCATAATGCTTTTGATGTTCATCCATGACATAGTTCATTCCTTTCTACTGTTATGTTAAAAAATATCATAATTGACCAACTATAAAACAGAATTTTGCACAGCAGCAGAACACATATTCTTTTTGAGCATACTTAGAGTATTTCATAGGACAGACTGTATACTAGACCATAAGACAAGTCTTGCTAAATTTAAAAAGATTGAAATTGTACAAAAGTGTGTTCTCTGTCCATAACAAAGTTAAATTAGAATTCAACAACACAAGGAAATTTAGGGCATCTGAAAATATTTGTAAATAATCCGCTAATTAATAATAACACATTTATAAATAACCCTTGGGTCAAATAAGAAATTACAAAGGAGGTCAGATAGTATTTTGATCTGAATAAAATAAGAATACAGTATATCCAAATGTGATGCAACTAAATAGATGCTCAGAGAGAAATTTATATCTTTTAATGCATATGTTTGAAAATAGGAAAGATTTAAATCAGTAATCTAAACTTTCTACCTTAAAATCTAGAAATAGAAAAAAACAAACCAAAGGTAATACAAAAAAAGGGAATAGGAAACAGAAAAATGTTGGGGAAAAATTAGTTTTTCTTTTCACAATCAAAGGTAAAGGTGTTGACAAAACAGTAGGTAGGCTAACCAAAAATAAAGTTTGTGAAAATTAAGAATAAAAAGAGGTGGGTGTTACCACTGACCTCTCAGAAACTGTAAGAAGATTATAAGAGAGTATTATGAAAAATATTAGGCCAGCAAATTCAGCAACTTAAGTGAAATGGACAAATTCATAGAAAGTTATAAATTACCAAATGGACTCAAGAAAAAATAAAAAGTACGAATACACCTCTGGCAAGTAATGAAATTGAATTAATAATTTAAAATCTTCCTGTAAAGGAAATCCCAGACCTAGATAGCATTTTTGTTTTGTTTTGTTTTGTTTTTTGAATTCATGGTCTCACTCTGTCATTGAGGCTGGAGTGCAGTGGTCAAGGCTCACTGCAGCCTTGACCTCCTGGGCTCAAGTAATCCTCCCACTACAGCCTCCTGAGTAGCTGGGACTACAGGGATATACCACCACACCTGGCTAGTTTTTGTGTTTTTTGTAAACACAAGGTTTTACCATACTGCCAAGGCTGGTCTTGAACTCCTGGGCTCAAGTGATCTGCCTGCCTTGAACTTCCAAAGTTCTGGGATTACAGGTGTGAGCCACTGTGCCTGGCCTCCAGATAGCTTTACTCGTAAATTTTATCAAATATGCATAAACATAAATACATGAGAGAGAGATTATATCTGTATCTATCTATATATCTTTTTTTTTTTTTTTTTTTTTTTTTTTCAGACAGTGTCTGACTCTGTCTCCCAGGCTGGAGTGCAGTGCCTCATTGCAACCTCTGCCTCCTGGGTTCAAGTGACTCTTGCATCTCTCAGCCTCTTGAGTAGCTGAGACTACAGGCACACACTACTACACCACCCTAATTTTTTGTGTTTTTAGTAGATACAACGTTTTGCTGTGTTGCCCAGGCTGGTCTACAAGTCCTGAGCTCAGGCAGTCCTCCTGCTATGGTCTCCCAAAGTGCTAGGATTACAGGTGTGAGGCACCATGATTGGCCCAAATATATATTTTTGTTTTTGTTGGTACATAGATGTATATATTTATGAGGGGTACATGGGATATTTTGATACAGGTGTATAATGTGTAATCATGCCAGGGTGACTGAGGTATTTATCGCCGCAAATGTTTATCCTTTCTTTTTGTTAGAAATAACTCAATTATACCTAAAAATGTTGTTGACTGTAGTCACCCTATTGTGCTGTCCACCTAACCATGTTTTCGTACCCATTAGCTATTCCTACTTCTCCAGCCTCTGGTAACTATCTTTCTGTTTTCTGTCTCCATGTATGTGTTCAATTGTTTCAGTGTTTTTTAGTTCCCACAAATAAGTGAGAACGTGCAAAGATTGTCTTTCTGTGCCTTACTTATTTCACATAACATACTGATTTCCAGTTCCATTCATGTTGTTGCAAATGACAGTATCTCATTCCTTTTTTATGGCTGAATGCTACTCCACTGTGTTTATGCACCACATTTCCTTTATACATTTGTCTGTTGATGGATGCATACGTTGCTTCCAAATTTTGGCTCTTGTGAAACAGTGCTGCAATAAACGTGGAAGTGCAAATACCTCTTCAATATATTGATTTCCTTTCTTTTGTGTATATACCTTGCAGTGATATTGCTGGATCATACAAGGTCTATTTTTGGTTTTTCAATAACCTCCATACTGTTCTTCATACTGGCTCTACTAATTTACATCCTTAGTCCACCTTATTTCAATTTTTTGGAATGTTTTAAGACTTATTTTGTGGCCTAACATATGCTCTATCCTTGAGAATGATCCATGTGCCTATGAGGGTAATGTGTATTCTTCAGCTATTGAGTGAAATGTTCTGTAAACATCTGTAAGGTTCATTTAGTCTGTAGTGCCAATTAAGTATGATGTTTCTTTGTTCATTGACATTTCTATCTGGTAGTTCTGTCCAGTCCTGCAAGCGGGGTGTTGAAATCTCCAGCTATTGTTACATTGTGCTCTCTCTCTCTCTCTCTCTCTCTTTAGCTGTAATATTTGCTTTATATATCTGGGTGCTGTAGTGATGGGTGTAATTTACAGTCGTTATATCCTCTTGCTGAATTGACCCCTTAATTACTGTATAATGACTTTAAAAAATCACTTTTTATAATTTTTGTCTTGAAATCTAGTTTGTCTGTTGTAAGTATAGGTTCGGCTCTATTTTGGTTTCCATTGGCATGAAATATCTTTTTCCATCCCTTTGTTTTCAGTCTACGTGTGTCTTTATAGGTGAAGTGTGTTTCTTGTAGGCAACAGATCATTTGTTTTTTTTGTTTTTTTTTTTTTTTGGGGTTTTTTTTTTTTTTTTTTTTTTTTTTACTTAATTCATTTAGCCACTCTATTTTTATTAGACAGTTTAGTCCATTTACATTCAGTGTTGTTCCTGCTAAGTGAGGGCTTACTTCTACCGTTTGTTACTTGCTTTCTGGTCGATTTGTGGTTTTTTCTCCCTTCTTCCCTTCCTGTCTTCCTTTTATTGAAGGTGATTTTCTCGGGTTGTGTGTTTTAATTTCTTGCTTTTTATTTGTTGTATCTTATTTTTGATTTATGGTTACT